TCAGATTCAAAATGGCCAACACCAGTCCATTTCAGCTCACAAATGCTTAAGATATAGATGTTTATGCATTCCATTTCATTTTTGACAACTTCCAATTTTCCCAGATTCATACTTTGTACATTCTATGTTCCGATTTTCAATGGATGTTTACAGCTATTTATCTTCATTTTGAGTTGTGCACCATCTGCAAATGAAGGTCCCATAGCCTTTTCTCCCACAGACTTTACTCCATTCACATCATCACGGTCAACTTCACTTTGAGGAGGCAGCTCTTCCCCAGTCACATTTTGAGTGCCTTCCAACCTGAGGGGCTCATTTTCAGGCACTATATCTGACAGTGTTTCTCTGCTATTCAGAAGGTTTTCAGTAACGAAATATTCGGAAGTAGTTAGTCACTCCTTCTTCCTAGTGTGTCTTCACCTAGAAGATCATCTGAAACCTGTCCACCATGGGTGACCCTGCTGGTATTTAAAATACCGGTGGCATAACTTTCAGAATCACAGCAACTCATAAGCCACCACAGTACGATAAATATACAGATGAGTGGTGGTAGAATCATTTGGGAGAATGAAATCACCACTTAAGTAGCAGTGTAGACCCAGGAATTCAAATTTACTTTGTAGGTGTTATTTTTATTTTCAGTTATTTCTGAGTTGCATTGCCAAGAATTCGTAGCTCCTTAGAAATGTGGCCCCAATAAAGAATAACAAAAACTCTTTTTTTCTTTTTAAATTCCTTTTGTCTCTATTGTATAATTATCTTCCATTACATTTTCTTGTTTAGGAACTTCCAGATCTCTGGTACATTTGCTTTGGTAAAGGATAGAAGTTACTTTCCAGAGGCACAGTAACCATTACTATTGGAAAGTTCCCTCAGTGGTACTGTTAAATTTGGGGTGCAGGAGTACATGCAACCTTGATTACCCCAGTCTTTGCAGTTTAGTTTGCACATTCTTTTCATTCTTTTCAGTTTTATCTCAGTAGTTCCCAGAAATAGCGTGGAAGCCTCAGGAGCCAGGCTGGTGGTGGTGGTTATGTGCCGTGGAGTCTGTTCGGATTCGTAGTGACCTTGTACAGGAGTTCCGAGGCTGTAAATCTTTAGGGGAGTAGATAGCCTCATGTTTCTCCCATGGAACAGCTGGTAGTCTCAAACTGCTGACCTTGCGGTTCGCAGCCCGATTCGTAACCACTACGCTGCCAGAGCTCCAGGTTGAGAGGATTTAAATCCCAGCTCTGCTAGGTACTAGCTGTGTGACTTTGGAAGGTTCCTTAAGCTCTTTGTGACTCCATTTTCTTAGCCCTATCAAGGAGCTCTGGTTATATTTTCTTGTTTAGGAACCCTATAGGTCGTAATCCCCTCGACGACATTTAACAACAACATAGTGGAGATAATAATTATTACTCATTTCAAAGGACTTCTAAAAGTAATTGGGAAAATTTCCTGATGGCAATATTAAACCTCAATTAAAATATCTTTTAAGATTAACTGAGGAACCGTGGTGGCACAGATAAATGTTCTACTTCTAACCAAAGTTCAGTGTTTCAAACCTGTCAGCTGATCTTCAGGGGAAAAATGTAGCAATCTGCTTGTGTGAAGAGTTACAGCCCTTGGAACCCTATAGAGCAGGTCTGCTCTGACTTGTAGGGGCTCTGTGAGTGTGAGATGATGAACGATTAAGCGAGTTGGCATAAATAAAACCCGCAGGATATAATACCTTTCATGTGGGACCTAAAGAAGAAACTCCATTTTTTACTTTGGCCAAAGCACCTCTCCCTGCCTCAGGAATGTGCCTGGTCAGGTAGTACCAGATGGAGATGACCCCCTCCCTCTACAAGCTGTAAAGAAGAGATAAACATTCCTGACAACGCCAAGGATAGATAATGTATGTCTTCCTTACTCTAATCAAGCTGCCCAAGCTACGGATAATGGCCAATCGGATTTTATTACCCTTGTTGTTGTTGTTGTTAAGTGCCGTTGAGTCGGTTCCGACCCATAGCGACCCTGTACAGGGTTTCCGAGGCTGTAAATCTTTACGGGAGCAGAACACCTCATCTTTCTCCCACGGAACCGCTGGTAGTTTCGAACTGCTGACCTTGTGGTTCGCAGCCCAATTCGTAACCACTACGCTACCATATTACCCTATACCTTACTAAATGTAAACCAATCCTAGAGAAGTTAAGTAGAAGACCCCCGAACCTGTTTGTAATCTCTATAAAAACCCCACTAACTAGGAGTTCGGGGCCTTTTTCCCGAGTCCGCTGTGTCGGATACGGAGAAGGTCTGGGCTGGAGCTTGAATAAACAACCCTTATGTATTTGCATTGGCGACGGCTCCTTGGTGGTCTTTGGGGACCCTGAAATCTGGGCATTACATCCACATAGTAAGTGCTTTGTAAATTTTAGCTATTACTATTAGTTTCACAAGACTCTTCACTGAAACTTTAATTTTTAAATTAAATTTTATTGTTAAATGTGTTCACTACAATATACTTTTTTAAAAACCAGATATTCTCAAAATAGGCAAATTATAAGAGTTTTGTTGTTGTTGTTGTTAAGTGCTGTTAAGTCGGTTCTGTCCCATAGCGACCCTTTATAGGGTTTCCAAGGAGTAGCTGGTGAGCTTGAACTGCTGACCTTGCAGTTCAAACCAGTTTTACAGTTGAGTGCTTATCGTACAGTACCACACCAGGACTCCTATAAGAATTTAACAATATTCGATTTCTTCTTATCTTTTATTTCTATATAAATCAGTGCCAGTTGCCACCAAGTTGGTTCGCATCAGTGGAGACCCCATGTGTTTCAGAGTAAAATGGTGCTGCATAGGATTTTCAGGGTCAGCGACTTTTTGGAAGCACGTTACCAGGCCTTTCTTCCAAGGTACTTCAGAGTAGGTTAGAACCATCAGTTTTTCAGTTAGTAACTGGGGATTTAGTCATTTGCACCACACAGGAACTCCTTTATTTATGAATGTTATTGTTGTTAAATGCCATGTAGTCAGTTCTGACTCATAGCAACCCTTTATGAGATTTCCAAGGAGCAGATGGTGGGTTTGAACTACCGACCTTGTGGTTAGCAGTCTAGTGTTTATCCTACAGTACCACACCATTTTAGTTGTTACAGGGGACACAGTCAGAATGTGAAGGGCTACATATTCTGTAGGAATGAAGATTTTAAAGGAAGGAATTCTGTTCCCTCTAGTTCCGTTTCTAATTAATTCCCTGCCATGTTCAATATAGAGTTTGACTCTCCGAGGCTGGGTTACCCTGTGGTACTTTACAAAGAGCCTCAGGGGGTTGCTCCTTCCAAGCAGGCAGGGCAAGTTCCTTGATAACAAGGTAAAAGGACAAGTTCTCAGAAGCAGTAGACCACTCACTGCTGCTGGTTTCCTCCCAGCTGGGAATAAAGGCACTAGAGGCAGATAACCCTACAGTGTAGCACCAGAATGTCAATTGATCTCTGGGGGTGTTTGATCTGTAGGCATAGTCCTTTGATCCTTCTTTTTGGATGAGTCCAGGGCAGTGTTCCTATACACATATTAAGAAATTGCTGCATAGAAACGGAAAAAGTTAGGAAAGCCAGAATTATAGTTACATTCTGTTTTGGTTTTAAAACATTTATATATGTTTTCTTTCACTTGGGAGATGTTTAATTTCTTTCATTATTACTTGTTACTGAATAATGCTTTTAAAGAAGTATACTTTCCTAAAAGGATGTCAGGTTCACTTCAACCAATATGTATCTAGTGTGCCAGGCATTGTACTAAACCCTGGGCTTCCTGGTACCTTAGAGGATCGTAGAGTTTAGAGAGGAAAGAAGCAGAAAATCCATCATTTCACAACAATACAAGAGATGTAAAATAGGGCAGGTAATTCTGATGTCCATCTCCAGCTAGAAAGTCCCCACAAAGAGGAATCCTAGGGAAGGGACTGCACACGGAGTTGCTTTCATAGTCTCCTTGTATTCTGTAAGACAGGTGACATCAGAGCTAATGTGTGACTAGAAAAGGGTGAATCCCCTGTTAGTTTGTGTATGGTGGTGGCTTGTCTGTTACTGTGATGCTGGCAGCTATGCCACCATTATTTCAAATACTATGGTGGATAGATTTTAGTTAAGCTTCCAGGCTAAGACAGACCCAGAAGAACGACCCCGGCATCTACTTCCAAAATTAAACAAAAAAACTGCCATTCCAACTGTGAGTCGATTCCAACTCACAGCGACTCTACAGGACCAAGTAGAGCTGCTCCGTAGTTTCTGAGGCTGTAAATCTTTACAGAAACAGACTGCGCCATCTTTCTCCCAAGGAGCAGCTGGTGGGTTTGAATCATCAACCTTTCAGTTCGCAGCCTAATGCACCACCAGAGGTCCATGATTACCCAAGGTAGACCTTGTGGATCCAAAAATTAACCAATATAAACCTTATAAATCACATGTAATCAGGAGAATCAGTCCCTAGAGGAAGACATCATACTTTTTAAAGAGCAGACCAAGAAGCAGGTAGGAGACCCTTAGTGAGATGGTTTGGCACAGTAGACTCAGCAATGGATTGAAACATAATGGTGATTGTGAAGACGGCGTAGGACCAGGCCACATTTTATCCTGCTGTATGTAAAGTCATAGCTATCCTATAGGACACAGTAGAACTGCCCTTTTGGAGCCCTGGTATGGCACTGTAGGGTCTGCACTGGATGGCTAACCACAAATTTGACTGTTCAAATCCACCAGCTGCCCCTTGGAAACCCTATACAGGGTCACTATGAATTGGAACTAGCTCAATGGTATTTAAAAACAACAGCAACATTGCTGCAGCCACTGTGTCAATCCATTTTAAGGTTCTTTGTCTTTTTTGGTTATCCTCTAATTTACCAAGCATGATGTTCTCAGGGACTGGTCCCTCCTGACAAAATGTTCAAAGTATATAAGATGAGATCTCACCACTCTTGTTTCTAAGGAGCATTTCTGGCTGTACTTCTCCCAAGACAAATTTGTTTGTTTTTCTGGCAGTTTACAGTGTTTTCAGTATTTTTGGTAACATCATAATTTAAATTCATTAATTTTTCTTTGTTTTTTCTTATTCATGGTTCAGTTTTGGCATTCATATAAGAGGCTTAAAAATACCATAGCATGGGCAGACCTTAGTTTTCAGTGGCATCTTTGTTTTTAAGCTCTTTGTTGATTGGCCTACAAAATAAACAATAAAACATGTGAATAATATGCTCCTTAGAACAACCAACTATATGAGACCAAAAAGAAACATTTGCCCAAAAACAAAGATGAAAAGACAGGGAGAGGCAGGGAAACCTAAAGGGATTGCAGCTAATGTCAGAGAACAATATGTGTGTGAATTATTGAATAGGAACTAATATGCTATGTAAACTTTCACCTAAAGGACAACAAAATGATGAAAAAGAAAGAAAAGAAATGTTCTGTTGGTTATTAAGAAAAAAAAAAAAGGGGGGGGGAGGCAGGTCTAGAAAGAAGGAGTAGATTGACCTAACAACACTCATGAAAAAACAACTCGAAGGACATTTCTCATGATTTGTGACTATTCACAATGATTTGTTACATATCCCTGCCTTTTACACAGATTGTCTATTTAATGTAAATGGGACATTAACAAGTGTGCCTCCTTCCAAACAAGGCTAGGTTTAAAATTAAGCAAGCAGTCATTCTTTCTGATTTTCTGTAGCAAAAATTTAGAGACTTTTTTTCATGAATACCCAGCAAGCCGTAAGTGAAACATTAGCTGCAAAGCTTTTCTTCTATCATCCCAAACCATTTTTGGTGTTTCCTCTTTGGGGGCAGATAATTAGAACTAACTGTTACTATTATTTTTATTTCCTGTTTGGAGGGCAGGTAATTAGAACCAATTGATATTTTCCTTCCCTTCCCTTTTCCTATTTAATCAGTAAGTCCAATTGATTCTGCCTTCTAAATATTATTCATCTCTATTCAATATTATTTTAGTTTAGGTTACATCACCGTGTCAGAATTTAACAGCTTCTTAAATTATTCTTCACTTGACAAAATGATCTTTTACTTTAGAGGAGAATGCAGTAAAAACAACCAAAATAATAATACTGATAACAAGTTGTTCTTCTTCGTTACCGTTGAGTCAATTCAGACTCCGTGTGTTGTTGTTGTATGCAGCACTCATTTACTGCATATTAAACAAACAAAAAATCCTGTTACTGACTAGTAGGTTATGACTCATTGCAACCCTATAGGGCAGAGCAGAATTACCTCTGAGGATTTCCAAAGCTGTATATAATCTTCATGAAAACAGACTGCAACATTTTTCACTGAGTAGCTGGTGGATTCGAACCTCTGACCTTTTGGTTAGCAGTGGAACTCTTAACTACTGCACCACTCGGGGCCTTCTAACTCATATTACACGTTGTTCTCGGAACAACCTTACAAGATAGGTGTAAGTACTTTCCTCTTTTCACAAGGAGAAACTGACCTCTGGAGAGGTTGGCCGCGTGGCTAATGGTGAGCCCAGACATGAATTCTGTCTCTAAAACTTGTGTTCTTCTCTACCATGCACACTCCCTGCCATACGCCTCCAATTTTCCTTCACAGACTTCCTCCTGATATTAAAATATTACATCATAGAATAGTTGTTGTTCTGTGCCATCAAGTTGGTTCCAGCTAATAGCGGATCTAGTTTCTGAGGTTTTCCAAGGAGTGGCTGGTGGGTTTGAACTGTTGACCTGTGGTTAGTAGTTCACTGTTCTAATGTCTAATGCCATACCAGAAGATGATATGTATTAATAAATTACTGCTAAATTAATGCAATATTAACATCTTAAATATGAAGGCTCCTTTGCAGTATTAAAATAATGTTGCATTACCCAGCATAATTCTGGTCTCACACGCATGCAAGAAGCTTTTTTAAATGAATAGTTCAGGAATCTCTATGTAAAAGGCAGGAAAAAGAAATACTGTATTAGAGACTCCTGTGGACCCAGGTGGAGACCTGGTTGGCCAGCAGTGTGGCAAGACCTGGGGACTCTTAGGCCCAGAGTCAGTGACATAGCCACAAAGGAGTAGAGTGGAGAGTAAAGCGTCCAGCTGATAAGACAGGGCATATACATAAGAACACCCACACTTGCAGATAATACCCACTTGACTTGGCTTCAATGACTGAATGATCAGACCTCAACTAGAAGAAGAAAGAAGAGGAAAAAAAGAGTAATCTGATACAATTTGATGAACTTGACCTACACCTATGGATGCAGTAGCTCAAAAGAGGGAGAGGGAACAAATCTTTACAGCGAGGATCATTCCCACACCCTCCATACACAGAGTAGACAGGGTTGGACAACTTGGACATTGGCTACCCAAAATGTGGGGCTACAGAGGCAAGAAGTGAGTGGCTTACAAGCTTTCAAGAAGGAGCCTAGACCCAGAAGGCTCAGAGGAAGGTAGAGTCTCCACTGAGTGGTATCCAATCTATCTGGGCGGGGTTGATGAAAAGAGATGCAGATAGGGTTTCAGAGTTTCTAAATTTTCGCAGGAGAAGAAAGCCTCCTCTTTGTCCTGCGGAGCAGCTGGCAGGCTTCAATTGTGGACCTTGTGGTTCACAGTCCTTTGCTTATTTTATGGAGCCACCGTGCTCCCTGAGAGCATAGTAGGCATTAACATATTAATAAACTTTTATTTTAGGGTAGTTTTAGACTTGTAGAAAAGTTGCCACACTGTTATTACACATCTTATACAAAAAGGATACATTTGTCATAATTAATGACCAATGTTAGGAACTCTGGTAGCGTAGTAGTTACGAATCGGGCTGTGAACCTTAAGGTCAGCAATTCGAAACTACCAGCTGCTCCGCGGGAGAAAGATGAGCCTTTCTATTCCCGTAAAGATTTACACCCTCGGAAACCCTGTACAGGGTCGCTATGGGTCGGAACCGACTCGACGGCACTTAACAACAACAACAATGACCAATGTTTGTATATTATTAATAACTAAAGCACTTTCAGATAAGCACTGTACTGCTAACCACAAGGTCATCAGTTCAAACCCACCAGCTGCTCTGCAGATTCCCTAGTTGAAACTAACTTGGCGGCACTTAACAACAACGTATTTTGTTCATATTTTCTTAGTTTTTACCTAATGTGCTTTTTCTATTGTAGGATCCCATTGTGGATGCTACATCATATTCAGTCATCATAGCTCTTTAGTCTCCTCAGTCTCGTGTTTGTCATGACCTTGACAGTTTTGAGAAGTACTGCTCAGGTATTTTGTAGAATGTTCTTCAGTTTATATGTCTTGATGTATTTCTAATAATGAGATTGGAGTTATGAATTTTGGGTCAAATGACCACAGAGAAGAAGTGCCAATGTCATCACATCATATCAAAAAGTAGATGATATCAACATGACATCACTTCACCTTGGTCACCTGGTAGAAGTAGTTTGTCAGATTTCTCTACAGTTAAGTTACTCCTTTCTCCCTTTCCATATTGCACTTTTTTCAAGAAAGTCATACCCTGTATGCATGTACAGGCTGGAAAGTTATGTTCTACCTCCTTGAGAGCCATTGAGTTGGTTTCGACTCATGGTGACCCACTGTGACCCAGTAGAACTGCCTTAAATGGTTTTCTTGACTCTGATCTTGAGGGGATTGAAACATCATGTATGTCTTTTGTTTTTCAGAGCTGTTAGGTGAGTTCAAACCACCAGTTGTTTGGTTACCACCAAACACTTAACTAGGGCTGTGCCACTAGGGCTTTTATTTTTGTATATGAAATTTATACTCCTCCTTTTAAAATTTTATTCATTTATGTAGCGTAGTGGTTATGAGTCGGGCTGCAAGCCGCAAGGTCAGCAATTTGAAACTACCAGCGGTTCCGTGAGAGAAAGATGAGGCGGTCTGCTCCCGTAAAGATTTACAGCCTCAGAAACCCTGTGTAGGGTCACTATGAGTCGGAACTGACTCCACGGCACACAACACAACACAACACAACAACAATTTAGACCAGTAAGCATTTATGGATATTTATTTCATACTTTGGGTTATAATCCAGTTCATTTTGTTCCTCAAATTGTTCCAACTTTGGCCTTCGGGGAGCCTTTTTAGCTGTCCAGCTGACTTCTCCCCATCTGTTTTTCTTTTGTTTTGTTTGCACAGTTCCTGGGTTTTTGATGCTACAGGGTACTTCAGGCTCATCTTGTATAACCCTTGACCCAGCCTTGGAAATAACTATTCTTCTAACTACTCTTGGTTTCCTTTATGGAGAGTGGTATTAGATACCAAGATCTGGGTACTTGGTGGGTACTAACACTTCTAAATTAAAAATTTAGATTCATTTTTAAAAGCCACAAAAGTATAAAAAATAACATGTTCCCATCACCTAAAACAAATACATGTTTTCCCCCCTTTATTTGGCTTCAGATATATTTGAAGAAATAAAACACAAAGTTAAGGCCTTTTTTTCTCTTTCCCAATTCTAAACCCTTCTTGCCCTTCTCAAAAGCAACCACAATCCTAAATTTGGCATGTAAACATTTTTTTTCCCCCTCTCTCAAGTATGCATAGAGTATTTACAAGAACAAATAGGTTTTAAGTAAATGGCTGGCTTGTATTTGGGCTGAGTTCACCAGGACACTCCCTGACTGTATTAGTGGGTAGTTGTGTCTCCTCCGTCAGCCATTTTTCTGTACACTCTGTTCTCCATGTTGTTGCTGCGACTCTTGTTCCATTCTTCCCTTGTGAGGTAACTTCTCTATTTCATCCCAACATGCAGTAAACAGTAAGCGAAAAATGCTGTCCAAATATAAAGCTTTACTGCTCTATTTACAGTTTAGAAAAATGGGGCCAAGCGAGTATTGTTCATTTATTTGGAGTACTTGGCTCTTGAGCAACTATTTTCACTTAAGACATTATCGGTTGTTTCTAGTTAATTTTGAGTTGGATTTCTGAAAGGCTTAGATGTCCAGATTTCAATCCACTGGATATCTAGAAATCAGGATGGTTAATTTTATGTTGTTGATGTTGTTTCTCATGCAAATAATTTTCCTCAGGATATAGGAACAATACACAAAATAGAGAAAAAAAATTTACTATTGAACAGATTGCTCATGAAACTAATAATTTCTCTTGCAAGTGATTTAAAATGAAAGCCTAATTGTATAAATTTTAAAATGAAAGGTTATAGTTGTAGTCTTAATCCATTGAATTATGTTGCTATGTGGGCTGTTCAACAGATAATGTTGTAGGTGCATCCATGTTGTCTCTTTAGTAAGCAGAAATTTGTTTTGGAATTTCCAACCCCTGTGTTAGTAAATACATCTGATTTCTTCCCACAGCTTACACTTTGGCAAAACCTAGTTTGGAGCAGTTATTTGAGGACAATTCTGTATAGCATTGGACAGTCAAACAGGCACAATGAAGCACTTCCTGAGGTAAGTATTATTTTCCTCCATGAGTCCTCTAGAACAGAGAAACTTCCTTGCCAATTAGGATAATGTTTCTTTTTACTGTCTGTGATTCTTTGACCAGATCTTACTTAGTATTACATAAAATAGCATTGCATTTTTAAAAGAATAATTTGATCATGCGGGTCCTCTGCTGCCTCAATGGATTGCTACCCCTCAATGGATGTTGATGCTAAGGAAGAACACTTGTAGATTGCAAGACAGCTTGGGAACAAAAGCATGGAGCAGGGAGAACTTTGGACCACCTTGAAGACATGTGTCTCTAAAGGAAAGTGTGCAGCCTGCTAATTGTTGATGGTGTGAGGAATCAGTAATCAAGGAATCAATTAATCCAATTTGTATGAAATAATTTTCCTGAAATAAGTAGTTTATAATATTGCTTAATTTAGATTGCAGTTGACTGGTCAACCCAAGCATTTGAGGAACATATTTGGCCAGAGCATATATTCTAAGCTTCTACTCTTCCTGTCTCCATGATGTTTCTGAAACCTGCATTAATTGTTGGTTCCCTGGTGACTGGGCTTCACAGAGAACCAGAGTTGCTGGGGTGTTTTGGTCTGATCTTGTTTCAAGTCTACCAGCTCCTTGGAAACCCTGTACAGAGTTGCTGGCACTCAGAACCAACTTAATGGCAATTAATGTCAACATAGTATAATTGGGTAATGGTGTGGCATTGTAGAATAAGTACTGGACTACTACCACAAGGTCGTTAGTTCAAATACACCATCCACTCCTTCGAAACCCTATACAGTGTTGCTATGAGTTGGAACCAACTTGATGGCACTTAACAACAATACTAGTTATAATTGACATAGTGCTTTTAGCATTGGGCTGATGACTGCAAGGTTAATGGTTCAAACCCATAAATAGCTTTGAGGTAGAACGATGTGGCTGTCTGCTTCCATAACAATTAACAGTCACTGAAACTCTAAGGAGCCGTTCTACTCATTATGAGTTGTTACTTTGGCAGTGGGTGAGTGAGATAGTTATAATTAGTTTCAAGAATATTTGCTGCTATATTAATGCAACTTTATAAGTTTTATATTAAAACATAAAGATAAAGTTAGTCTAGTCCTGAATGGTAGAAAATAAACCACACTCTCCTCAAAATGGCCTGTCTCTATTATTCATTCTGTTTTTGTTTTCTTTAACTTTGTATTGTGAATTGAGTGAAGATTTACTAAAAAGACCATCAGTTTTACTTTCAATAAATAATACACTTTGGTTCATCTCAATGATTACAATCCCTTCCGATGAATAACAGTCATCTGTTTACTCCCTATGGCTTCTGTTTCCCTTCTACCACCTTCCTGTCCCTTCTTGACATTGTCCTTAGGTACATGTTGCCCCTTTGATTTTGAATAATTGATTATTCCATCATTCATAGTGAGCATATTTTACTAGTGTTGTTCCCCCTGTATACCTACCTATCTACTGCTTGGTTGAAAGAGAGTGTGTTCCTTTCCAGACCTGAAGGGTGGTCGAGGGTCACAGTCTCAGGTTTCTAATTTTCATTCTTGCACATTGCTCTGGCTAATTTTTTCAAAGCAAATAATTGATGTCCTTACTTTTTTAAGTATTTTCTGTTTTTCTTTTCCCCACTAGCTTTGGTTCCAGCAGTGTTTCTGCATCAAGTAGATCCGTTTGTGTGGGGCTCACTGTGTGTTGGTGTACCTCATAGAGTTTACTTCATTTTGCTGCTGCTGTGCTGTTAAATGTCATGAAGTCAGTTCTGACTCATAGCCACCCTGAATAGGGTTTTCGAGGAGCGGCTGGTGGGTTTGAACTACCAACCTTGGGTTTAGCAGTTTCGTGCGTATTCTACAGCGCCACACCAGGACTCATCATTTTAGGATTGTGGGAACCTCCTAAGAAGTCACTATTAAACCTTTTTAGACCTTAGCAGTTGTGTTATGATACAGAATATTTTTCAGCCTCTTTATCTCAGTTGTATAAAAAGATGTTGTTAGGTGCTATCGAGTTGGTACCCACTCATAGCGACCTTATGCACAGCAGAACAAAAAATTGCCCGATCCTGGGCCAAACTCACTACTGTTGCCACACTTGAGTCCATCGATGCTGCCACATGGCCAATCCATCTTGTTGGGGGTTTTCCTCTTTTTCTCTGACCCTCCACCTTACCAAACATGATACCCTTCTCCAGCAACTGGTCCCTCCTGACAATATTTCCAAAGTATGAGAGACGAAGTTTGGCATACAGGCTGAATAAGTATGGTGAAAGAATACAACCTTGTCACACACCTTTCTTAATTTTAAACCATTCAGTGTTCCCATGTTCTATTCGAACAACTGCCTCCTGGTCCAGGTACAGATTCCTCATGAGCACAATTAAGTGTTCCGGAATACTCATACTTTGCAATGTTGTCCATAGCATGTCATGATCCATACAATTGAAAACCTTTGCATAGTCAATAAAGCACAGGTAAACATCTTTCTGATATTCTCTGATATAAAAAGATAGTATTTGAAAAATCACTAGGATGTTTGCCAGTCCAGTATTTGACCTGATGTGTTTTTGATTGCTATGGTAATTAGCCCATCTGTTTACACATTTATGAAACATTGGTATGTAGCAATCCTTCCTGCATATAAATGTGTTGTCTTTTAACTATAGAATCATGTTAACTGAATGCTTTCATGTTAGCTGAAGCTTAGCACTTGAGAAGCCCCCCTTTTAAAAGTAGGGAAGGCTGCAGTGGAGGAGTATACCCCAAGCCTGTACAAATGAATTCCTGCTTCAGGGTCTCACTCATTTGAGAAGAATTTGAATTAAATTAAAACCAGCCTTTTTAAGAAGCATTTGTTTTGTTTTGTTTTTTCTTGATAAATTGAATGGGTACAATGGCATGCTTAGTGGCAATTGTAATATTTTTAAATTAAATTTTATATAATGATTCAGAACTGGCACAGTGAAAATTCACCCCTATGATTCCACACAGTCTAGAACCAAGGATAGTGGGACCAGCACATTCCCATCAGTGATGTATTCTAATGTCAATTTGTTAAACTTGGCGTATATATTTTATAAATGATACTTGGTACTGATTATTTATGTGAAACTGAAATTAGGGTGGTAGATTCCACATCAAGAAAGAAACAAATGATGTTGAAATAACAAAAGGAAACACCATCATTTTCCCTCACCCCTTTAGTTGATTATTGCTTTAGTTTTTGTTTTTAATTAAGTTATATGTGTGTATCATATGTGTATAAATTATATGTTAATATTCATAGACTTTGGAAAGATAAAAGGGGCATGAAGTAGTAATTCCCTGTATTATAAGCTCTATGAGGTAATTCAGATCTCCTTTTGCACTCTGTAGACCATTTTCACAGATGTTAGGCAAATTTGGCAATCATTTCATTTGAGCCAAATATAAGGTTATATAAGCATAACCTCAGTAATTCAAATGTTAATTTCTGAGCTCAGCAATTATATTATGAAGAATGAGAAATCGGCTTTCACTGAAAAAACTTTCAGCATGGTTCACAAGCCCAATTTCTGAGGTTCTCTGGAATGAAATACTCCAGGCACAGCCCTAGAAGAAATTAGGTTAATCTTAAAGAAAACAGATTGTGGCTAAGAATGGATGTTTAATTCACATTTAAGGTACATAATGCCTATTTTCTGTTCTTTCCAGCTCACTATTTGCTATCCTCAGATATGTTAATGATGCAACTATTTAAAGCATGACAGAAGTGGAGAAAATATCTGATGTCTCTTTTTAAAAACTACATGAGGTATTAGAAATAAATACCGTTGGATTACTAAACCCAGCTAAAGCTTGTATGTTGGATTGGTAGTATGATATTGGATGAGGAGCCCATAGTCACTCAATCTGACTTCAGTCATGAGCTACATGAAAAGAAAGCCAGGTATAAAGTGGATAAGAAATTGTGTCCATGTGTGATCAGGAAAGAAGGGACACTGCTGAGTTCTAAACAGACTTGGAAGCCATTGAGAGAGGAAAAAATGTAAAGCAATTAGATAAATAAAGATTTACAATGAACCAGAATGACTGTGAATTGGGTTTTATAAACCAGTAGCTCTAGGTCAACATCATGGCCCACTGATTCACTTAATAAGCATTCACTGCTTATAAGTATAGTGCTGCATGACATTTGTTGCACACCAAGTGATTAATGTTGTTTTTATTTTCTCTTCATAGCAATGACAATAAAGTAGAAGTGAGTGTTTCCAGGCTACAGAGGAGGGCACTGAGGCTTAGCAAAGTTTTAGGTAATTTACCGAAGGTCACAAAGATACTTGAATGCATGTCTGTCTGACTTCAGAGCTGTTTCTCTTAAGTTTGGCATCATGCTACCCTCTTTTTGTGTGCCAACTGTGAAGCCTTCGGTATGGATTGCATCTCAATGCAAAGAAAACAAAAATCCTCACCACTGGACCAATAAACAACATTCTTATTAACACAGAAAACATTGAAGTTGTCAAGGACTTTATTCTTCTTGGATCAACTATCAATACTCATGGAAGCAGCAGCCAAGAAATTAGATGACGTATTGCATTAGGCAAATCTGCTACACAAGACCTTTTTAAAGTGTTGAAGAGCAAAGATGTCAGCTTGAGGACTAAGGTGCGTCTGATCCAAGCCATGATATTTTTAATAACCTCATATGCATTTGAAAGCTGGACAGTGAACAAGGAAGACCATAGAAGAATTGATGCTTTTGAGTTACGGTGTTGGAGAAGAATATTGAAAGTGTCATGGGCTGCCAAAAGAACCAACAGATCTGTGTTGGAAGAAGTGCAGCCAGAGTGCTCCTTGGAGGCCAAGATGGCCAATCTTCGTCTCTCATACTTTGGACATATTGTCAGGAGGGGCCAGTCACTGGAGTAGGATATCATGTTTGGTAAGGTGGAGAGTCAGAGAAAAAGAGGAAGACCCCCAACGAGGGCATCGATGGACTCAAGCGTGGCAACAGTAGTGAGCTTGGTCCAGGACTGGGCAGTGTTCGTTCTGTTGTGGATAGGGTGGCTATAAGTCGGTACCAACTCGATGGCACCTAACAACAACTGTGAAGCATTGTGGGTGACACAAAAATAAATCTGACATGGACTCTGCCCCAGACTGACATACTACCAGGTAAAGAGATGAAGCATGCACATACAAAAGTTGTTGCTGTTGTTAAACTGCCATCAAGTTAGTTCAGACCCAGAGGGTTTCTGATTCTATATAGAGTTTCCATGAAGAGCAAAGATGTCACCTTGAGGACTAAAGTGCGCCTGATCCAAGCCGTGGTATTTTCAATAACCACATATGGATGTGAAAGCTGGACAGTGAATAAGGAAGATCATAGAAGAATTGATGCCTTTGAATTGTGGTGTTGGAGGAGAATACTAAAAGTGCCATGGGCTGCCAAAAGAACTAATAGATCCGTTTGGAAGAAGTGCAGCCAGAGTGCTCCTTGGAGGCCAAGATGGCTAAACTTCGTCTCTAATACTTTGGACATGTTGTCAGGAGGGAACAGTCACTGGAGAAGGATGTCATGCTGGGTAAGATGGAGGGTCAGAGAAAAAGAGGAAGACCCCCAATGAGATGGATTGGCCAGGTGGCATCATTGATGGCGTCAAGTGTGGCAGTGGTGGTGGGGTTGGCCCAGGATCGGACATTGTTTCGTTCTGCTGTGCATGGGGTCGCTATGAGTCGGTTCTGACTTGATGGCACCTGACATAGAGTTTCCAAGAAGCAGCTGGTGGGTTTGAACCACAAACCTTGTAGTTAGCAGTCCAGATCTTATCCTATAGCATCACAAGAGGCAATTTTCCATAGCAACTCACCAGCTTCTACGTTGGCCATCAAGTCTCAGTCAGAGATCCTTTGATTTTCCCTCAGCTTGTTCAAGGCCAATTTTATAGCCACTTCAGTGTCCATTAAACTTTTCCAGCAAAGCATGAGTAAGATCAATGGAACCGTGGACACTCAATGTATGTTGGTTTAATTTTCATTCATCTAACTGATTGAGTTTTCAATTTTGGTTCAAAGTGAGTAAGGCATGTTGATTTTCCTGGTTGTTCTTACACTCATTGCAGGATAAACAATAATTGGCTTTGCTGTCTGATCTTGGAGGAATGTGCTGTCTCGACTCAGCCTCTGTAATACTCTGAGAATTTGTCTTTTGTAGATTATCATACTGTTCTTCAACTTTTTGTGTTTGTCATTTTCCTCAATTGACTGTAAGCTCCTTGTGGACAGAGATGTTAAATCGTTTGCAAGGAAATTAAGTTCCTGACTCATGTTCCCATTTTTTTCTCTGCCGTAATCCCTACCTTTTAAAAAAATACTTTGACTTTATACTACTCAGTCTCTCTTTTCATTTGTTTATCTCAATGAATTTTTAAATCATTAAAAAATTATTTAAAAACTGTTTTCTGATTTATTTCAGGTATCTTCCCTTTAACTGCACTAGATCTTTAACGCAACAGAAAATAAAACTAACATATTCTCATAATACTAAAAATATCCTCTAACCTAGTTTTTACATTTTTAAAATTATATTATATAGTGAATACTTTAAAAAAAAAAATAGTAACAGATTTGCTTCTCATCCCTGCAGAAGGTTTTGAGGCCTACAGTAGATGATGGAACATTCATAATGACCTTTGATGACTTTTTCCTATTTATGTATTTATTAATTTTGGATCTTTAAAAGATAAATTTTATTTAGCAAGAAAAGTTCTACTTGCAATTACATTTAAATGATTTTCTGATTTCGAATACAATGTGTTTGCTGCCTCTCCCTTATTAATGAGCAATGAAAGTATATAGCATAAGATCTGATGTTAAAGAATAAATCTTGCAGTATATAGTTAAGCATCACATTTTAATTAAATGGTGATATCATTTTGAAATTAAGAGAAACATATGCCTGCTTTTCCTTGAAAGGAAGAGAATAAACCATTAATTTATTTATGATTTTAATGAGCTACTGCTCTGTAGGCCTTCAGATAAAATTTCCTGGAATGTAGAAGCAGTGTCCTTTACTATAGCAATAGAATTTGAACTGATATAGATCCAGGATGGATTTATACCCACCAACCCCCAGTTCTTTTCAGAAGACAGTATGATCTCTCCAGATCCTCTCTCTGAATGGTGGAAAAGATGTTGAGATGGACCCCAACACACCTGGGCAAGAGACTGTGTTGTCTCTATTTTACTCTATATAGGGGACAGGGTGGGAGCAGTACACTTGATTTTCTAGAGATCCACAGGTGGTTTTTCTATGTGACTTCATATTTGCAGTTCATGTATGTCCCCTCATATTTCTTCTCTTCCTAGTAGAAAGATCTCATTTTAGAGGGGCTGCACTTTCCTAGGCCAAACAGCTATTGAAAAGTTAGTTTTGTTTTGTTTTTTAAAAAAACTAAAGCGGATAGAGAGAAATACTGTTAACTGATAGTACATGGGGGAGATTATAATCATTGTAATGAAACAAGGTGTATGATTTGTTGAATGTGAAACTGATGATATGCCCCATAAACTTTCACTCAATCCACAATAAAAACCTTAAAAAAAAAAAAAAAGTTAGTTTTGTCATAGTCCCTACGTAGAGCAACTAAAATAAAATTTATTTTCCAAAGTCTTTTAAATGTTGGAAACAGTGAGCCGCTTGCTCTTCTTTATGATCGTTCAAATGGAAACTACTTCACTTAGGAAACTGATTTGAACCAGGTACTGTGATTGTGTTTGTATATAGCCTTGGTCACCAATAGTGTACTTCTTATTTATTACAGGATTTCTTCAAGCAAGAACTAACTCTCATTTGCACATTCCTTGAAACTGTTCAGAATAAGCCACTTTTTTCTTATTGTTCCAAAAGAAGACATCAGAGTCACAAACTTAAGATGATGGAGTAGGTGTTACACTACAGGTACCCACAACCCCTAACCCTGTAGCACAGAGGTGACGTGGCTCCAGAGACATCTCCTGTCTCCAAAACCCCGTCCCTACCTAGTGGATTCCCCCAACAAGCACCAGGAATCAGGAGCTCACTTGTATTTGGTGGTGGACATATGATCCATTTTGAATCATATATATTGGGTCGCTCTTCTGATTAAAGCTAGAGAATGAATGTTAAATAATAAAAATGATCATAATTGCTTTATGGAAGAAAAGTGCTGTGAACTCTATTCACACAGCCATCAACTTCACTATGCAGCATATTAATAAATGGCAGCAACAGAATATAGTGGAAATAGAACACATGCAGTAGATTTTACTGTCGAATCAGATTCTCCCAGCGCTTTTACATTGCATTCCCCTTGGGAAGCTGCAGTGACTCCTGTTTGAGAACAGTTATAGAGCTGTGATTAAAAAACAGAAACAAACACACACACAAGATGCCTTCTGTGCACATGGCTATTAAAATCAGAAGGTAGTCTGTTTTCTCCTAGTCATCTTGAGACTCTAAGTTTTGTTTCTAAAAAATATAGCAGAACTTTAAAGTAGTGAATTGAGAATCTTCCATCAGAACTAAGATAACTGAGTCTAGTATTATAAAGAAAAAAGGAAGCCTATTCCTCCAACTAAAACTAAACATTTTAAATTCATTTTAAACTAAGGATTTTTAAATTCAGGCCAAGAAGATAAATAGAGTCAGAGCCATAAACCTCCTGAACATAGGATTCCAATGGTGGAGCAGGTGCAACTGTGATTCTAACTCCAAAAGGAAGAACAGAAGAACAGGATTAGTACCTGTGCAGAAGAAGGCAAATGAGATCTGTCTCATAGGTTATATTTGACATGTGTCCTCTCAGAGCATAGTATCAGAAATGTAAGACAGTAAAACAAAGGAAATTAAAAGGACGAAAAGGTACCAATACATCCAAAAGTCTAAATCCAGATAAGAAACAGGCAAACTTTTTCTTTCTTCCCTTTTTTCCTTTTCCTTTCACAACTGCTGATTAACTTAAGATCACTTAAAGATCCATTTCTTAATTTCTTCTGTTTCAGGGTAAACATACCAAATAAATTTAACATTCTCCTAAAATCTTTAATTGTTTGTATTGTTCTGTTTTGGAACCTCAACATTAACTTTATCATTTAGGAATTTAAGTAGCTCCAAATCATTGAAGAAGTGAGCTCCTGGCAGCACATGGTGATGGGAAATAGCCATCCTGACATATTCATATGCAAATTTTGCTGATCTTGTCCTTTAATGGGGAAGCAAGTTAGGCATTTTTTTTTCTGTCACCAAAATGCAGCTTTCAACATAAGAGGTGGCACTGATGCTTCCATCTCTCACTATGCCTTGCTTGGACCAGAGTATGACCTAAACATAGAGCAAATTATATCTAGCAAAACTTGATTTGATCTAGTGAACTGACTCTTGAAAACAGTATCTAGCATATCAAGTTGGCATTTTTATGAAGTATCTGTAGACAGATTGACCCGCTACAAAAACAAAGAATATAAAGTGTAAATCCTATATGAAAATAGCATTATCAGGACCTTTGGTTTAGAAACTGTTGTTGTTAAGTGCTGTTGAGTTGGTTCCAACTCATAGTGACCCTGTATAGAGTTTCTAAGGCAGCCTATAAATTATAAAAGGGTAAACAATTATAAATATCACTTCATCATTGAAGTGAGCATATCTCTTTCATGATTTGTGATCTTGTGTTTGTGATTATGTGACAGGGATGTGATATGCCTCACAGGGTGGTGAGCCCTAGCAAATAATGCGTCATCTGTAACCCCTCACTGTGAATTTCTACTGGGTTTCACTGTCTTGAATCCTCAGGAGAGAAAACAGAAATAGCATGATGACGTTTTTTCTCCTTTTATGTAAGACTGTCTTGATGCAAAACTCTCCTCAGAGCTTTTCTTGAATGCAAGAAGGCCAATGGGTTCAAGTTACTCTGCATCTGGATACTTGCTGACACCTAAGATGACACATCTAGGTCTCAGGCCACATATTGCTTTAAACCTGTTGGAAAGGCACATGGGGAGACTTTGCATAGCTTTATTTAAGCTATAATTCGATCTGGTGGCTTGCACCCTAAATTGGGTGAATTCAAAGATATCTCATTTAACAATTACGGGAAGCCATTTTCTCCAGGAAAATTTGGAACCACAAGAACCTGACCTGACCATTGTGTGGTTTTGTTAATGTGGGAGTCCTGATGCACAGCTTTGAAAGAGGTTCCACTTGGGATGCTGACCCACATGTGAGGCTGACTTTACTGATAAGTGCACATGGGTACAATCAGAAGTAATGCCTTGGAAGGCTTTTCTTTTTGAATTAATAATAGGTATTTCCAAGGCTATAAATCTTGACAGGAGCAGAAAGCCTCATCATTCTCCCGTGGAACAGCTGGTGGGTTTGAACTGCTGATCTTGCAGTTATCAGCTTAGTGCTTATACTACGCTATCAAAGCAACTCCTCAATAATAGGTATATCTCTTAATAATTATCTTTGCCATTTGACTAATGGCCAGTTAACAAAGATATTGCTCAATCTTTTTAAATTTTCTCATATCCAGTACACCTATTCACTTGTCAATATGGTTAAGTTCCAAAGACGAGGTCGTTATGTGAAAATCTGCATTATGGACGACATCAGATGGCAAACTGGGGAATGACTACATCATCATATAACTATGAAACCACTGAGATCATGGCCCAGCCAACTTGACCCATAACCTCAACCATCACAGTTGCGTTGCTCTTACCTCATACCTTAATGTTCATTCCTGTCAGACATACCTCATTAATGCTCAAAGTAATTGGATAGCAGATTTTTAATTATTGTCATAAATGTGAAATGTTGGATAATAAGATAGTCAATAAGTGAGGAGTAGGTGTAATTGAAAAAAGTAGAACGCTTTCTAAGAGAGCAAGTTGATGTTTTATAAAGTTCTTACTCCACTAATTAAAATGTTTCCCTACATTTATTTTTAGGGTTACTTTTTTAATCTGTTAACTTAAATCCTAACAGATCGTAAAACATATTTGACTATAAAAAAGTTGAATGTCAAGCTTTACAGCATATTAAATCAATTATCTTTTAACAGGATCTTGCTGATTTCATATTAACTGATTTCAGATACTTAGAAGTGACTTGGTAATCATTTTACCCATTTAAATTTTTGTAACAACTTTTCAAAATGTAAAATAGTGTTTATTTACTATAAAAAAATAAAAAATAATTTAAAAAAAGAAAAGAAAAATTACTCATAAGTCCATTACCCAGAGAAACTGCTGTTAACACTTTGGGTGTGTATACTGACAGTTTTCCTTACGTACTCCTTCCACTCACCCCCATTTATACATAGTCATTAGAAATCTTTTTTTAAAAGGAAAGGAAAACCATTTTAACGTTTTCCACTCTATAATGCATTATGAACATTTTCTCATATTATTCTAGAATGGGATTTTATTTCCTGGAAAGATATAATATTGTGTATCTTATTAATAGATCTTGGCCTCTTCTATTTCCTTCTACTGCCTTCTATTGCCTTTATAAGAAGTAGACCCCATGTTTGTACAAATCAGACTATTTTAACACAAGGCTGTTGAAGATATTAGACCCAACCAACTAGTTGGTGCTGGCTTCTTTTCACGGATGGATCATATTATTGAGGCTATTAGTAAGCTACTTCAGGTCCTCTGAGTAGCCTTGGAACAACTTATTTTAGAGCTGCAGGGAATGAGTGAAAATTTGAGTAACAGTGCTTTTTTAATAACTTAAAAGAACATTGATAGAAGGTAACATGGATAATTCTGCCTCCCAGGAATGTATAATACAAAGAGAAGGTGAGTTGGAAACAACTGGAATATATGTTCCTGAATGATGGATCCTCTTTACCTTTATACCTTGAGTTTTTTTGAGGCTCTTAAATAGAACCATGAAGTAGTAGGTACATTTCTTCCAATTAAAAGTCAACACAAATTCACATGTACTTAAAACATATAAGGGAGAACATAATTGGTGATGATGTAGTTTTTAGTTTTTGTGTTATTATTGGAGTGACTTAGAAAGTACAGTAAAGAAAGCCAGCAGGAGCTAAGAACAGACTTGTCATGAGGCAAAGTATTTGAAATATTTAAATCAGAGGATGTTGTCACCTCTGAGAGCCAAAGGTAGTATTCAGTGAACCAATAAAGAGATCACCCCGCAAGTTCAAGGCATTGATTAGTAGTCCTCAAGAACAACAGTGTCTAAGGGGAAAGAAGAGGGAGGGAATGAGGAAAGAAATGAGTGTAGTATGGGAAGGGGTTTAATAAGGAGGGTCTATAAATTAGTCCTGGTGTGGCGCTGTGGGTCAATGTGCCAGACTGCAAAGCCGTTTGAACTGTAAGGTCTGCTGTGCAAGCTCACTAGCTGCTCAGAAATCCTATACAGGGTCACTATGGGTCAGAATCAACTCGATGACAGTTCACAACAGCAACAATAGACTAGTAGCCCTGGTGTAGTGCTGTAGGATAAAGCACTGGACCACAAGGTCGGTTTGAACCACAAGATCGGCAGTTCAAACTCGTTAGCTGCTCCTTGGAAACCCTCTACAGGGTCACTATGAGTTGAAACCGACTCAGTGACACTTAACAACAACAACAGAAAACAAGTCAGACGAGGATGAAAGTCTGTCCACAGAAGCAGAAGAGGGAAGCTGCAATAGCGTGCTCTCTCCCTGTGTTTAAGGGAGTGGCAACTCCTGAGACACAAGCAGTGTTAAAGGATTCTGGTTTCAAGGTACTGATTTACTTCCAACACATTTTTAGGCAAAGGTGGAACAATAAAGAATTCCAGTACTTGAGTCTTTTTGAGGCTCGTAAGTAGTACCATGTGGGGTGGTTTGCAATCATAGTAAATGTCCACACAGATTCTACCTCAGATAAGATCATGTGAGATTGTTGCTACGTGCCATGGAGTCAGTTCTGCCTCACAGCGACCCTGTACAGGGTTTCCAAGGTGTAAATTTTTACAGGAGCAGAAAGCTTCATCTTTCTCCCACAGAACAGGTGGTAGTTTTGAACTGTTGACTGTGAGATTAGCAGCCCGATTTGTAACCACTATGCTACCAGAGATTAGAAAAATGAAATATGTTTGCAGAACTAGAACTCTAATGGTTGATTTTCTCCTGGACTTTTTTTCTCCTGCTTGCTGGTGGTGGTTGCTTTCTGTTCTCTTCCAGAGTTCTATTGGAAGGGTGCTGTCTTTTGTTTTTGACAGAATGCTGATCCAGGTGTGCCTGTATTTTTACTGTAAGTTTTTGTGGCGCTGTCTGAAATTTGTAATGAGGAAACTGACCGGAAGATGTGAGTTGCAACGGATCTGTTACAGTACCAAGCCTGGAGCTCCTAGAACCATGAAAATCGGTAAGCATGGAACAAAAAAGAAAGCAAAATTTAAGGTCGATTGAATTGAGAATGTAGTGTTACGATTCAGTGTAATGATTTTACCCCATTGTAAAGAATAATTTTTAAATGCCATTTCTGTCATTGCTTTAATAGAAACCTCACTGAGGGATTCAAAAAGTAAGGTAAGATGTTTCTATATTTTCAGCAACTTTCACTCCATCAAAAAGTAGGAAAAAAATTAAGAAACAAGAATATATTCCCATGGATCAATTTCCAGCCAAGCAATAGATAAGTACAAAGGAAGACGACAACAATGCTAGTGAGGTGTACACATCATAGAATTGTTAATCACTGAAGATTAAAAGGGCAGCATGTACCCAAGGACAAAATTCGGAAGGGTTGAAAAAGAAAGATGAATGGAAATAAGGAACACAGGGAGGAAAGGGAATAGGTGATATTACATTGAGGAGACTACAGTCATTGAGATGGAATGTAGATTGGTTGAATGTAAAACTGATGATCTCTTCTGTAAACCTTCAGTCAAATCACAATAAAAAGTTCTATAAAGTGTATAAAAATTGTTAAAGCTTAAAAAATATATATATTATAACTATGAAAACGAATGCAAAATGAGAAGAACTGTTTATCACAAATTCCTGTTCTTTGATGTAAGAGCAGTCGCTGTCTGTGAATTTCTAGGTAGATTTCTGATGCCCGTATTAATTCATTGTTAAGTCAGTCTCTTTATTTAATACCTCCTTCTCCAAATCATAAAATGAGTATCCCTTGAAAATAGGAACAGTATTAACTCTTTGGTATCTTCTTAATATCTAAATAACTTTACACTCAAGATTTTCTGGTATAATCAAACAAACCACTGTGTTAGCTTTTATAGCACCTAGATGAGCACCCACAGTTTCTTTTTATTTATAACGATTCTTGATTATTTCATTTTATTATTTAGTTTAGACATCCTTCAGACTATTTTCCTCATCTACTTCAGTCTTTAGGCTTAGACATAATGCCCATTAACAATGGAAACCATGATGAGTGTGGAAAAGGAAATACGTTTTAATATAAGTAAGATGAAACAGAGGAAAATGATAAAAAAACAAACAAACAAACAACTAAAACTCAAAAAGGAAATAGCCATGGGTAGTTTCCATATGTAATTCTGCTCTATGTTAGTGCCTTTTGTCAGGAAAGTTGCACTACCTCTACTGTGAAAATGTCAAATTTATTAGAATTTTAATTTCTACTTATATATTTCATATAAGTATACTAGGTCAGTTTTTGCTTTTAGTTTATTTTTATATCGAAGACTAAAACAAATCTGTGAAACCTCTAGCTAAGCGGACCTGGTGTTGGGACAGGAAACTGATTGAAACATGTTTTTCAGCTGTTGCAGACTTCAGTGAGTGTTCACCCTGATGCTATTGAAAAAACCATAGACGACATCATGGAACTGAAAAAAATCAACCCTGACATCAATCCACAGTAAGAATGTGTTATTATGTCAGAAATATAGAACACAAATCTTATGACCACATATTTAATATTTCTACATACACCCTCATGAGCTTGCTTACTTGCTCATTTTCTGTCTCTTGCTTTGCCTAGAATAATCATCTGCAATGTTCTGATTCTCAGATGAAGAATAAAGAAAAAAAACCTGGCATTTTCTTATTTGTAATTGGCAGCAACTTTATACTTCTGTTGTGATTTAATGTTTATGCTTCTGAGATGTTAGTGCAGGAAATCTGATGGGTGCCTGGAATATTGAAAAATGTGATAAAAGGAGCTCATTCATCAACGATCGCTCCATGCAATGCCTATGTTTTATACTAACAGTAAATGTTCCACTTGTCAATGTGTCTAAGTGGATTGTTCTCCATCAATACTATTCCTTCAGCTCATGACAGGCTGATACTGTTGGAGACAGTTCCTACCTGCTTGTCAAGAAGATAAGCATGTGTGGGCGGGAGAGATGGTTTTTATATGAGTGAGACTTAGAACTTTATAATTTAGTCATCTCATCTTGGAAGTATTAAAATGCATTTGGCAATGTGCATGGCATTTAAAATTAGCTTTATGCTTTCCCTTGGGTACAGCAATTTTTCAGTTAAATTTTGGGCTGAGAACATTGGGTGGAATGAATTGTGAATGCAGATATATTTAGAGATGGTTTAGGTAGGTAACCATCAAACTGTCATTTAAATGTGCATACAGTAGAACTTCAGATGCTACTGCCAAAAAAGGCTTTTAATCGCCAAAGACAGAAACGGTAGTTGAAGGGAAATTCAGAGTGCACTTTGCAAAGGTCTGTCTCCTGAAGTGATTCTAGGTACTGGCCCTGTGGGGCTCATAGCAAAACTCCCATTTCTGTCTGGTCTCCATGTACGCTTCTGCAGCCACTTCATTAAAGCTTGATTTAATTATGTAGTAGATGTCTTTTTGAAACCTTTTGACATATATTTTATTCCTCTGGGAAAGTGATAAATAAGCAATTCATTTTAAATTGGATTGAACCAAAAATTGAAGACTGCAACTGGGCTTGAGGAATGTTTTAGCCCTATAATTATATTTACAGATTGGATTCAGCTTAAGTGTGGCCCTGTGGGTTAATGTGCTGGACAGCAAAGTCGGTTTGAATCAAAAGGTCAGTGGTTCAAGCTCACCAGCTGCTCCTCAGAAACCCTATACAGGGTCACTATGGGTCAGAACCAACTTGACGGCACTTAACAACAACAAACGTAAACTGTTCTATGAAAGTATTATTTTTCATTCAAAAGCATTTCCTTGGCATCTATTCTTTTAATTTCCTTTAGGAAAAAAAAAAACCTCTCTTTTTTGTGTGCCGTGGAGTCAATTCTGATTCATAGCAACCCTGTACAGGATTTCCAAGGCTGTAATTTTTATGGGAGCAAAAAGCCTTGTCTTTTTTCTGAGGAGCAGCTGGTACATTCAAACTACTGACCTTCCAGTTAGCAGCCCAGTTCGTAATCTACTACTCTACCTGGGCTCCTCCTAATTGGTAGTAGATTGTATTTTATTTTTTATATCTCAACATGAATTCTAGTGCTCCCCCCGCCCCAGATTGCCACTGACAAAATTTGATTTAAAAAATGAAATACTTTTCTGAGAAACAAAGAAATAAAGAGGGTGGGGTGGGGAGGACATTTTATAATTGATGTAGATATTACTACTGCTTTGTTTGAAAGTGTTCCTTATGATGGTAATAGTAAAACTTGCTATTAGCTGGTCTTTCTTGCTCCCTCTTCTTTTGTTTCTCCCACCCTTTTCTTTCCCTCACAGTTCTCTTCTCAGTCCTGCATTGGTTTTCTGGATGACCAATGCCATTGCATTCTTTTCCCATACTTTTTAAGAAAAAACAGGTTTCATTTCTATGCTATAGCAATAATTAGTTGAATCCACTTAAGTAAACACTCAATTTTATTGAACTTTAGTATCTCTGGACTACCTGATACTGTCATCTATGGTTTGGGTAGGTATCTAATCCTAATTCCTCTTTAAACTTAATTTCTGTGTATCTCATCTATTCATACAAAAAATTACATCATCGCTATTATAATTATTTATAATGACCACCACTCCTACCATAACAAAAATTATCAAAGGTAGTAAGTAAACTAGAATTAGGATTATACTTGACAGTAATTACTGGATTGGAGCATATGAAATTGCCCTTATTTTAAACCATTTTGTAATCAGTGCGGAATGGAAATTTTGTAAAGTGCTTAGCAGAAATAAAAATGAAGTTTCTGCTTTTAGATTTTAAATGCCATCAAACAGTAGCAGGATAAGATAATAACTTTTGTGACCTTAGTTTATATGGGATATAGAAAAAAGGCATCTTAAAAGCTTGTAAGCAGATATCCAATACTTCACCTGGAACAGGAGAGGAAGAAAGCGTCAGGAATAGGAATAGGAAATGGACTATATGGCTAATTACCTCCATGAACAACTACCTCCTTTGCCACAAGTCCAGAAGCACTAGATGAATATTATGACCAAAGATTCAATAGAAGAATCCTGCTCAAAAAAGGGAAAATATAAAATAGAATTTCAAATTCTTATGGACTGTAAACTCTCAGGAACCATGGAGAGTAGACGAACCCCTGAAACTATGAACCTGAGATCATCTAAACCTTAAACATCCTCTGAAGTCTTCTTTAAACCAAACAATAGGTTTACTTAAACAATAAAGAATATCTGCCTTGAGGAGTCCTGGTGTGACATTATAAGATAAGCACTGGACTGCAAGGTCAATTTGCACTGCAAGGCGGTGGTTCAAATCCACCAGCCACTTCTTGAACATCCTATACGGGGTTGTATGAGCCGGAACCAACTCAACCGCACTTACCAACAGCAAGCTGCCTTGAATACAGTGCGCTTATGGGATCATATTTAGAACAGCATCTATAAAGAATAGAGAGGAGACTCGGGATGGTGAGTTTGTGATAATGGGGAAGGAACAGTTCAGAGAAGGAGGCTGAGAATGGTTGCACACATTGAAGAATGTAATCACTGTCACTGAATTGCACATGTAGAAATTGTTGAATTGGTGTAGGTTCTGTGTGCGTTTTCAACAACAATATAGATATATATTCTTTTTAAAGAACAGGAGGAAAGCATTGTGGTGATTAGTTATTCACGTGTTGAATAAACTTGTAATGTTATATGACTATTTAAAGAGATCCCTTTTTACATTAGACGCTGTAGGGGAGGAAGACAGCATTCAGATCACAGAAAGTAATGTTCCTCTGTATGCTATGCCTGCTGGACGGTTTTCTGTTCTGGTAATGTGGTTTAAGAGGGAAGTTCATCAAATAGTGTCCTTCCAGAACAGACTAAGTCAGACAGTAAAACATTTGAAAACCATGTACCAAGAGGGAATTAGAGGTTTGGGGGATTTTCTTTTTAATCTTAGAGAAGATAACATTAGGAGAAATCCATCCAGTCGCGTCTGACTCAGAGTGACCCTGTTTCTGAGGCTGTAGATCTTTAAGGGAGCAGAAAGTCTCATCATTCTCCCAGAAGCATAATAGTGGAAAGGTGGAAATAAGTTCACTTAGTGTAGCTCAGAGAAGGGAATGTAAGTCATTTAGTTTCCAAACAACAAAAGCATTCATACTGGAATGGGAAATTCTGCAAAGTACTGAGTTCTTTTCCTGGCAAGCTTCATTTATTAGGGACGCCTTCAAGCAGAGGTTTTTTGTTTGTTTTGTTTGCCCCTAAACTATCAATCCTGGTATGGCATTGTAGGATCCACACTGGACTTCTAACCATAAGGTTGGTGGTTCAAACCCACCAGCCGCTCCTTCAAAACCCTGTACAGAATTGTAACCGTGACAGTGAAATGATATACGATAGGATTAATGTAAAGCTAATGTTCTCCCATGTAAACTATCACATTGTTGTTGTTGTTAGGTGCCATCGAGTCAGTACCGACTCATAGTGACCCTATGCACAACAGAACGAAACACTGCCCAATCCTGGGTCAACCTCACTATTGTTACCACACTTGAGTCCATCAACACCGCCACCTAGTCCATCTCATTGTGGATCTTCCTCTTTTTCTCTGACCCTCCACCTTACCAAACATGATATCCTTCTCTAACAACTGGTCCCTCCTGACAATATGTCAAAGTATGAGAGACGAAGTTTGGCCATCTTGGCTTCCAGGGAGCACTTTGGCTGCACTTCTTCCAAAATAGATCTATTGGTTCTTTTGGTAGCCCATGGCACTTTCAATATTCTCCTCCAACACCATAACTCAAAAGCATCCATTCTTCTGCGGGATCACATAATTCACAATAAAACATTAAAAAAAAAAAAAACCCTATACAGAGTCGCTATGACTCAGAACTAACTCGATGGCACTTTACAACAACAAACTATGAGTCGGAACCAACTCCGTGACACCCAACAACAGACACCAAGAGGGCTATTTCTCTTTCACACATGCACCCTTTTGAGGTGGTTCTGATGATGGGAGCTGCCATCAACTCAATTCTGAGTCATGGCAACCTTATGTACAACAGAACTAAATGTCATCCCATCCTCCCTCTATAACCCTCGTCATCACCGGCATGTTCAAGTCCATCATTGGAACCAGTGCTTCTTACCAAGAGTCTCCATTCTGCTTCACCAGACTCTGTCCTTCTCTAGTGATTGACCCCTCCTGATGGTATGTCCAGAGTAATCAAGCCAGACCAGTTTCTATAATGATTCGTTTTCAGCAGTAGAATCACCAGGCCTTTTCTTTCCTGTCTTAGTATGGAAGCTTTGCTGAATCTTGTCCATCATGGGTGACCCCACTGGTATTTTAAATACTCCTGGCATAGTCTTCAGCATCATAGCAACATGTAAGCCACCATAGTATGAGAAACTGACAGATGGGCAGTATGGAGTCTGCATGGACCCTAAGAACCCATTGTTAACTTGTATTTTCTACATATTGCTGTTAAGTCATCTGCAAAATAAGCTTGCTTAATTTTAAGCCATGCTATTGTAACTTGGCTTAAGAAAAGGTCTAAAGATAAATTTTAGCTAGTTTCTACAGCTATCCAGGAGTTTCAGTAAGAATGGCGTTTCTATTAAATATATCCTATTAAATGTATTTGTTTCTATTATTTGTTTTATACTGTTGTTTTTGTTAAGGGCCATCGAGTCGGTTCCAACCCATAGCGACCCTGTATCCGAGGAGCAGCTGGTGTGCTTGAACTGCTGATGACGCAGTCCAAATGGTTTTGTAGTCTTGCGCATTTACCCACAGCGCCACACCAAGACTCCGTGTTTCATATTATACTATGCTATATAGCACGCTATGGGTCAAAACTGACTCAACGGCACTTAACAACAACAACAACAACAATATAGCATGTTAAGGAGCTCTGGTAGCGTAGTGGTTATGAATTGGGCTGTGAACCTCAGGGATAGCAGTTCGAAATTACCATCTGTTCCACGGGAGAAAGACGAGGCTTTCTGCTCCCGTAAAGATTTACAGCCTCAGAAACCCTATACAGGGTCGCTATGAGTCAGAACCAACTACACAGCACATAACAACAACAACTTATAGCATGTTATGATATATGTTTCTATTAAATTATATTTGACCAATTTATTGACTATCATATAGATATGAAAAGTTCTATTCAACATACATCAAGTGAACAAATGCCATAGAATGTTTTGTTTTTTCCTTATATATATTTCTTCTGTTTTTTAACATCATAGGTTGGGCATCTCTCTTCAGGCTTGCCTTCTACAAATTGTTGGGTACAGAAACCTTATTGCAGATGTTGAAAAATTACGCAGAGAACCCTATGATTCTGAGAACCCCCAACACGAAGAAATGCTTTTGAAGGTTAGTCCTCAAATGTATGTTAGCCTTGTATGTAGGCCCACTAACATTTGCTGAGCCCTGCTCCTCATTAAACACTGTGCTAGACGGTGGCGTACAAAGACTAAGACAATAACACAATGAGTAGTTGAGGAGCCTCGTTTTTTTTGCAGGTTCAGGTGTTGAAGGTAAATTTTTTCATTAGTAAAATTCATTGGAAAAAGTGAAGTGTCAAGACAATTATCTTTTGAAATCTGAACATCAGAGGTGATTTCTGCAGGCTGACACATCTGGCTCAAGTTGAGATTGTTTAACATGTGTTAAAAGCCAGTCAGGAGAAATAGCATTTGTCAAATAGTGATCTGGGATTTTCATTTATGGCTTTTAATACACATCAAAGAAGATGAAGTTGATTTCTGCTTTAGCAATAGCCCCTTGGGAAATTATGCAAGATCTTAATGGTGATGATTTATTCATGCAACTTGGAGAGGAGATAAACTTATATCTGGCATAGTTGAATTGTTGGAAGCATAGTACAGAGTTTCATATACATCTTTGGTTATCAAAGCAAAACCTTAAGAATCTTACAGTTTATTATGTATGAAACAGTGTTAAAATTTTTGAATTTTGAGCCAAAAAACATAAGACCAACCTGTAGAACTATTCATCTGATGAGATGTTCTATAACTCCACTTACAAAAATACATGTTTTTAGGATGGAATGCTTTCTTGCCTTTCCCTGGAATTAAAAATGGAACTAACAAAATAGGCAGAAACATTTGCCTTAAATTTCTTTTACTGGAAAATGTCAATAGAAGGTACAATTTAAAAAGTAGAACCTGTTGTGTTTTTGTGTAAAGGAGTGTGTGTTTTTATAGATGTTAGCACATATGTAAATATGTAATTAGCAGATGACTCATTTTGTCCCTGCTAATTAGTACTTGATCCGATGTGAATCATTACAAACTGAAGAACCCTCATTCTTGGCAATAGTTTTTCTTTTTCTTTTTTTTTTTTTTAATTTAAGGTTTTTATTGTGGATTGAGTGAAAGTTTACAGGGCACATCATCAGTTTCACATTCAACAATTCATATAACTTGTTTCATTACATTGATTGTAATCCCCTCCATATACCATCAATTAAAAGTATTTCTCTTTATCCACTTTAGCTTTTTTTAAAAAACACACAAATAAAAAAACCCACTCAGGCATATATAATAAATTACATCGCCAAAGGGCACATTCTGCAAGTCTGCTCCTGGCCACCAGCTCTTAGTCCTTCTCTTCTTAGTTGATGACTCTAGAGTCCTCAGCTGCTCCCCCTCTCCATGCCCCCATCTCTGATTCCATCTCTGGCTCTGCTGCTTCTCTGGATAAGGTCCTGCATCCTATTTGTGCATTACTGTCTTGATGGTCCTAGGGTCCTCTGTTTCTGGACTGTATAATTAACCACTCCCCTTTTTTTGTTACAAAACTTCTACCTTTACAATTGTGACAGTCGCGATTAGTCATGATAACAGTTTTCACTATTGAATCTTACGAATCTTATCCCCATCTCCTTTCAACAGACCCATCTAGACAAGATGATAGCTATTCAGTGGGGACTCTTTCTTTCCCCCCACACTCTTAACTAAGCTCCCTCTTGAAACCTTGTAAGCCAGTCACTTTGTGCCTTTATTGCTCCCTCATTTTAGATAGCCAATGTCTAAGTTGCCCATTCCTATCTACCCTGTGCACAGAGCGGATAGCATTGATACTTGATTTGAAGACTCTTTCCCTCTCTGGTAGTATTTAGAGTAACTACTGCTCTGAGTATAGGTCAGGTTCAGCAACAGTTTTTCCTTTCTGCTTAATTTTAGTTATCATATTTGTTGAGTGTCATCTCCTTATATTGACTTTTTTTCTTTCCTTTGTGAACATTTTCTGATAGATTTAAAGATAGCAATGAAAGAGAAAGTAAGTGTAAAATTAACAGACTGGCTGTTGTTGTTAAGTGCCTTCGAGTCAATTCTGACTCATAGTGAGCCTGTATAGAGTTTCTTAGGAGTAATTGGTGAGCTTGAACTGCCGACCTTGTGGTTCAAACCAGTTTTGCAGTCCCGCCTATTAAAAATCCACAGTGCCACACCAGCACTCCTAGAAGGAACTTAACAATTCAGTACAATGGCTGAAATGCCCTCAGAATCAATTACTAACTCCTGGTATGGCGCTGTCAGATCAGGACTGGACTGCAAACCACAAGGTCTGCAGTTCAAATCCACCAGCGGCTCCTTGGAAACCTATAGCGACTCTGTATAGAGTTTCCGAGGTGTGGCTGGTGAATTTAAATTATCTGTAGTCAAGATTTAAGTATGGGTGTGTTATAGTTTTTGTCACAACTATTTTGAAGTAGTCAAAGTGATGGGTATTAATAGCATTTTAGAGGTGAGCAAACAAGCTATGAACTTTTTAGTCCAGGCTCTGATTCATACAACTAGTAAGTTCTAGAGTCAGGACAGTCCACTACTGCATTAGATGCTTTGAGGAAAGGTGTGGTTTTGTCCTCCTGTGGCTTATAATCTACCTGGGAAGATACTGTGCTTCTGCAAAAATCATGAACTCTTATCCATCAATCTGCCCCCTCTCCAGTATCTCTCACATGTTTCCCATGTCCAGGGCCCTATTTCAGCCATCATTTCCAACCTGGGCTTTTATAAGAGTCTTTTAATTCAATCATTAGTCAGTTCCTTCTTCCAATATCTTCTAAAATATTGTTGTTGTTAAGTGCCATTGAGTCGGTTCCGATCCATAGCGACCCCATATAGGGTTTCCAAGGAGCAGCAGGTGGGCTTGAACTGTGCTGACCTTGAGGTTCAAACTGATTTTGCAGTCCAGTGCATTAACCCACAGTGCCACACCTACAGAGGGAATTTTTCGGAAGCACAGATCTAGTCATATTATTCCCAGGGTTAAAAACTTCAGACTTAATATGTCCTATAGAGAAAGCCCATGTATCTTAGCATGACACTTTAGATACGTTCCTGTTTATTTCTGTAAACTGCCTCCCCTGGCTCTTCATCTATGCAGCACATTTCCACCAGGTTCCCATTTTTCACCGCAATCCATGGCTGTGCCATTCTGTACGTCCATTCTGGTTCTCATGCTGTTCTCTCAATCACACAGCAGAAGCCTGTTTGTATTTTAAGTCCTTAGTGAATTTTCAAATCTTTCCTAACTTTCCTAAGCAAACTTAAGAGTGGAACTTTTATTCTCCTTTTCAGTTTATTCATCTTCCAAGTTTGATAATGACAAAACAGCAATAATAAAATTTGGTTGCATATTTACTATGTGACAGACATTATAGTCTTTTACAGCATCATCTCATTTAATCTTCATAATAACCTTGCAGGTGAGGAACTATTATTCTCATTTTCTAGATGAGGAAACAGGATGGTAATTAAGTGACTATGTGAGCTCACAAAACTAGAAAGGGTTCTTAACTGCTGTACTACACTAACCCTCAAGGGAGACATCACTTCTTATTTATATATGCATTTTCAGAGCCTGGTCCATGGTTTTTATTTAACTACCTGAGCAATTATACTAATTCTTTTGCTAGCAACTGCACAAAATAATTCAGAACAAACTACGGACTTTGGGCCAATTCTGGGTTGTCATTTGTTTTTGTAAACTAAGTTTGATTGGAACCTGCTCATTCATATATATTGTCTATAGCTGTTTTCCTAGTATAATGACAAACTTAAGTAGTTGCAACAGAGATCATACAACCCTCAAAACCTGAAATATTTACTATCTGTCCTTTATAGACAAAGTTTGCAACTTGCAGTTTAGTTTTCATATTGTGTAAGTGATTTGTTTTATAAGCATAGGAAAGCATTGTTAGTATTTCTACTTAGAGTCTTAACTCTTTTTTATTATTATTATTATTCTGGATTTGATGATCATTTGACATGGGTTGGGATGAAATTAAATATCTTTGGACTGCTAACTGCAGTGTCTGCTGTTCTAATCCACCAGCCACTCCTAGGGAGAAAGAGGAGGCTTTCTGCTCCCGCAAAGATTTACAGGGTCACTATGAGTCAGAACTGGCTGAACAGCACACAGAAGCAGTATGAATATATTCATATAGCACTATATGTTTGAGTTATCCAAACTGACGCCTATATTTAAGAATCTTTAACTGAGAACCAAACCATCGTACCATCAGAGTTCCTTACTCACCATTCACTAGAAAACAGTTATTTTTTTAAAAAACTGAGATTACGTAACATCATTGTTCAAATGAATATGGTATCTGTTATATTTTGTTCCTACCCCCATGACAGATTCTTAAGAGGTTCTAAAAAGAGACCATTCCCTGATGATGATGAATTGGTCTCTTATTATTAAGTACTCATGATGAATTCAGAAACATTTTCTGAAATATAACATTTCTGATAACCTTATATGATATTTTGCTGATGGATTTCCTTTCTTTACTCTGAAGTTTTTTCTCACTCTTTCGATAAATTGAATTTACCTTTTGTACCATTAATATAAAATACATGATCTGGATAATAAGTAATTTTGAATTAGTGCCTAGAATAGCTGTGATTAATCATAACTCTAAAAAATTCATTACATGTTGTTGTTGTTAAGTGCCTTTGAGTCAGTTCCAACTCATAGGTTTCCAAGGAACAGCTAGCTGGTGGGTTTGAATTGCTGACCTTGTGGTTCACAGACCAATGCTGATCCTACAACACCACACCAGGAGTCCACATAATGTTTTATACTGTGCATACATATGACAATTTACTATAAAGCGAAGTGTTTGTGTGCTACTGTTACGTTTAAACTTTAAAACTTATGCAGTATAAAAGGAATTTAGTAGTTAAATTATTTCTGAATTAGTAAAAAGGAATTTTACATTTGTGTTTGTGCCCTGCCTATAAGAAAGTAACAATATAAAATATTACAAATAATCTAAAAAGTAAATTTTCTCACATACACACCTCTATTTGTTAGAAGTAATATTTTGAGAACTGCATATTTAATACAGATGTTGGTCTCAGTTCCATTCTCAGGAAAGTAATGATAAGTACTGAATCTATGGTTAATCTTTCTATTTAAAAAATTGAGAAAAGTAGAACCAGTTCTATTTTTAATAGAACATCATGTTTCAAATTTGTATTTGTTCATAAATAGATGAATAATATTTGAGATTCTTTTAGGTAACGCCTAACACTGATACTATTGTTGTTGTTGTTAAGTGCCTTCGAGTCGGTTCCGACCCATAGCGACCCTGTACAGGGTTTCCGAGGGTGTAAATCCTTAAGGATCGCAGCCTGATTCGTAACCACACTGATACTATACTATGAGATTTATTCAAGACTGCTGATTGTACTTTATTCACTACATGGTAATGTTTACTCCCCTTTCTGTTTATAAGTGAGGCCTCCTAAGAAATGAAACTCAAGGTAATTCACTTTTCTTTTTGTTAACAATTCTGCTACAAGTTTTTATATAAAGTGAGATCAGAATTGGAATGACGATGGCCTCAGAAATTTCACTATTTTCCCTTTCCTTCTGTACTCAAGTACTTTTGAGGGCTTCAAAGAATTTCTGTGGGATATGAATATCAATAATTTCATATTGAAAATTAAAACAGGAAATAGCGTAACTCTAGTATACATAAGCACACATTTCATTACCTTCAGAGCAGTGGCATCATTACTTGTCGCATAGCTTCTGGAACACTGCACTGAACACTTGTGAGATAATTTGAGAAAACAAAAGAGAACATCTTACATTATTATAAAAATAGCTTTTATTTCCCCAACCTCCTGAAAAGTTTTGGGATACCTCCAGGAGTCCTTAGATCATACTTTGAGACCTGCTGTCTTAGGAAATATCAAGATAGTCCATATCTTTAATTCTTTTTCTTTCATTTTTGCATATATTCAGCTTTGTAGTGTATAAAATCTGATCACAAAAAATTTAAGAAGATAATAAAAATAAAGAAAAGGTTATATATGTGTGCATATACACAGGGTCATTCTCTCTCTTGTCTCCAGTTATGGACATTTTTGAAGCCCAATACTCCACTGGAATCTCGGATTTCTAAACAATGGTGTGAAATTGGTTTCCAAGGTGATGATCCTAAAACAGATTTTCGAGGAATGGGACTTCTGGGGCTGTACAATTTGCAGTAAGTGAAATGAAGAACAGTTGCCTATTAAAGTTATATTCTGGTCTCCTCATACTGTTTTGAAATGGCAAAGTTATTAGTTCCAAAACTACTTTCCAGAAGATTCCAAGAAAACATTTAAGTTATTTGAGAGGTAAATCAGATTTATAAAATTTTAAAAGCTACTACCGTCTTGCTTTTATTTCTATAAACTTCATGGATTCTAAGGGTCCTATATCTAATGTATTTGTTTTTTATTATGAAAAATTTCCAGCATACACAAAAGCAGAGAGAAGCTCGTAAAGAACACATTTATGAACATCCAGATTCAGTAATTATCAAAGTTTGCATAATTGCCTACTTGTTTCATTTTTGGCAGAATTCTGTTAATGAAAATCATATACAGTTTCTCATTCTACCTGTCATACTTTAATACGCACCTCTAAAAATGTGACTATTTCTACATATTAACCCCAGTGACTTACTACACCTAACAAGATTATTAATTGTTATTATTCATAATAATATGCAGTTCATATTCAAATTTCCTAATTCTTTCAACATTGTTTTTTTACAGTTTGTTTATTCTCATTCAGATCCATACAATAGCTACACATTGCATATATAGTTGTATCTTTTGACTGTCTTAACTAGAGCAGTCTTTTCTCTCTTTCTGCCTTAGCCCTACCCCCACACTTCCTGGAGGGATTGGAATCTTGAGGAAGATTACTTGTCATTTGCCCTGTACAGTGTTTCGTGGGCTACATTTGTCTATTTGCACTTGTATCCATCCTCAAATTCCCTGAAAATAGGCAGTATTAGGAAAGGCTTGAATAGTTTCTGATTCACATCCCAGTAGGAAGTGTGCAGTGCCACACCATTCTCATTACTGTGTGTGGTGATAAAGGGTCTCAGGAATCCCAGCTTGATGGTTCCTATGTAAAGTCCCCCATCAACCTTTAATCAAATGGTTTCTTCCTTCAATGATCTTCACTCACTAACTGAATTATACAAAAAGTGCATTTCTAATTCTATTATGCTTCTCACAATTTCTAGCTGAAATTTTGTAAAGGCCCAGTTTCCTTTATAAGCTAGGGTTATTGGGGTTCAATAAAATAACAGGCAAAATAGATGCTCTTGTTTTTAGACTTTAGTTACCAATATAGAATAAGAAGTTGGTGCCCTAATTCCCTTTACTGGTGATTAAGAAAAGTTTTCTGGGTTTTTTTTGTTGTTGTTTTTTCCTTTGGCTCTCTAATTTTAAAGTATATAAAACACATGTGTTTTTATATATTTAATGTGATTCAATTAAAAGTCGTTATTTTTTGTTGCTTAAATACAGTCATTGTTTTAAAAACCAAAGGGAGCCCTTTCAAGTTGGTTCTGTGTCCTTTAGACACTACCCTATTAGTGATGTATTTTCAAAAGACATTAAGCTTTAGTCAAGTTTGGTGGCACCCATTTTTTTCCCTTTATTTTAAATTTAGAAGGTTTAATAATCACACATTGTTTTCTGAAATGTGTTAAAAACACTACATTGGAATGTAATGTGAATGAATAGAAAATAAATTTTAATGACAAAGGTGGAGTCACAAATAAGAAGGTAAGATGAAGATTTGAACAAGTGGAGCTGAGACAATTGGTCTTCTATTTGGAAAAGTTATTCAATTAACTCCCTTTCATCTCAATTCAAAATATGTAATATGAGAACAAATCTTTACAACTTTTAGGAGAAAACCTTTAAAATATTAGAGTAAGTAAGAATCTCTTTAAGATGCACAAAAAAGCATAAATGGTAAAAGGAAAAAACAATACATTCACATACTAAAATTGAAAAAGTCTGTATGACAAACACCATAAACAAAGTAAAAAGATAAGGCAAGACCAATACAAAAGTGGCAAAAGATTTTCATCTGGTATATTCTCTATAGGAAAACTTGTCTTATATATTAGAGGACATATACTGGACCAAGAAATTTGAACAAGCAAAACATAAAAGAGGAAATCCAGATGACCAACAAAAGTATGAAAAGAACCTCAATTTTATTACTAATCATGGATGTGTGTATTAAAATTGCTGAGTTTGGTGTGAAATTTTCTGAGAGAAAATTCAAGAGCTTATTTTACCCATTAGATGTATGCAAGAAGTCTAGAAACATCAAATTATATAGTAATATGATAGTTTTATTTTATAATTTGTGTTCATGAATTTTTTTTTTTTGGGGGGGGGGATTCATAGCCTTCTCACTCACATTTTATTTCTCACTGCTTCATGCTTTATTCCAGTGAGGATGAGATGGGTGATATTTATTGGTCTACCTCAAACCACAATCTGAATTGTATATAACTAAAAGACATATTTCAGGTATTCAAAGGTCTTTGGCTATTTCTGAAGTCTGAGTGTTCTTATTGGTTATCTCCTCTTCAGGTTCAAGTTTCTTTCCCTTCCAAGACAGATACCATCTCCAACAATAATGCATAACTGTGCACATATATACATACATAAGCATGTTCCTTTTTCTTCACCTGGCTGCCTTTATTTTCTCAGATTTATCCAGGAAATTCAAAGTTCCTGCAATTTTTTAATGCACAGTAATTAAACTATTCATCTCACCCCAGTCCTTTCAGACAACATATCCAGTTTGTATTCTCAATCAGAGAAACTAATGGAAGTAAAAGGTAATGCCATTTACACTAGGGAGAAATGGTCATCCTGTTCTAGAAGCAGTTCCAAGTAGTTGTGGTTTACAGAGCAGCAGTGCTCATAAACTCCATGAAGGAAAGGATATTTTTGTCATGTTCACCACAGTAACCTCAGTTCCTAGAAGAGTGATGAGGACATTACAGACTCATAATAAATACAGATAGGAAAAATTTCAATGGATTAATGAGTCATCCTTTCACACTTTAAAAGATGAGTAAAAAGGCAAGAAATGCAAATAATTTATTGGTTAGTGTGGACTTGAAAGTTCTGCTGACTCTGGTTAATGGAGAGTTAATGAAGTATTTTTAAGAATATATAGATTTTTATATTACTAGAAAACTTCACTATCCTTTCTTCCAAAACAGAATTTTACTTTTTAAAACATCTCGAAGCACTATATTATCCACTCATCCAGAATTCAATTATCCAGTGAATACTTTGCAAGAAAAAAAAAAAAAACATTTGAAATGAATCATCTCCCAGTTCCTCAAGTCTCTTCTCTCTACCCCTTGATCAAGCTACAGTCCCTCATCATTCCTCTTACAGAGTTTCTGCCTCCTGAGAGGCCTCAAACACCAAGCTATCCTACCCTTCATCTATGTCTGTTCTAAATAAGGATATCCTTGACTCTCTGTGGAATGGTAATGCTCATAAATAATATTTTCAATACTATTGGATACATTTCTAAATCTGAGTGGGTTTCACAACTGCTTTACCAATGCCAATTCTATTCAGAAAATTCTACTTTCAAAAGCTGTTTTCTGAAGGAGCTGAAACAATAAAACTATGATACTCATATGTCAATGTCCAGCTTTGAAACCAAAATGACCTGAAATTGAGTTGAAATGAATGAATTTCTCGAATTTAGAGTTGTGATCTCCTTTCTCCCCCACCCCCAACTACAGGTATTTTGCAGAAAGGGATGCTACAGCAGCCCAGCAGGTCCTCTCCGATTCTCTTCATCCAAAATGCAGGTAATTGCTGGGAAAAACAACAACTGATAAGAACTCTGGTGCTGTAAGATAAATTATCGACCTCAAGGTTGGCTTGAATCATAAGGTTGGCAGTTCAAACCCACCAGCTGCTCTTAGGAAACCCTGTACAAGGTTGCTATGAGTTGGAACTGACTCAAAGACACTTAAAAACAACAACTTCATCTCCTATACTAATCTGTAGATGAGATTCTCAGGGTAATCAATCCACCAGAAGTGAGTCTTAGAGCTGTTTTAAACAAGCTCTTTGACAAATGCTGAATGAGAAGGTTAAAACAACCTAAATCCAGGATTTAGGACTTAAAAGGAGCACACTTTATGAGAGATGTGAATTTAAGGAGACTGATAATGCCACTGGTTTCCAGGAAGACTGAGGTGTAGGCATGGAAAAAGAGGAAGCAATCTAAGAAAAAGTTCAGAGATGAAGGAATCCTAATGGAGAAGGAGAGGGGAAAATGGAAGTCGGGGAGAATGGAAGTCAGGGTCCATCTGAGTAATTTCTGAGACTTTTGTTGTTCTGTCAAATTCTAGATTTTAAATTATTTGTAGTTTCATTTACCTTTCTAAATTTTTTTCCCTCTAACTGATTACATGAAGGGATATCACTAAAGAGGAAATAAGGTATTTTTTTTCCTTTGCTTCTGTGTTTTGTTGCATGTGTTTTATTTTAGGCTAAGTACAGTAAGATTTTTTTTAAAAAAGGATATTAAATTCATTAAAACTTTTCCCCAAAGCAAACATTCCCAAGGTTTTTTTCAATGCCCAATTTTTAAAAAACTTTTTATTGTGAATTGAGTGAAATTTTACAGACACACACATCAGTTTTACATTTAACAAATCACACACTTTGTTTCATCTCAGTGATGGCAATTCCCTCCATGCACCAACAGTTATCCCACTTCCTCCCTCTGGTTCCTATTTCCATTCCACCCACCTACCCACCCCTTCTCAACTTTGCCCTTAGTTACATGTGGCCCTTTTGATTTTGGATGATTGATCATTCAAAATGATCCACTGTGAGCATTTAGGCAGTGTTTTAGAGAACTGAAACCCAGATTAAGACTACCTCCGTGGAAAATGTCAAAGAGCCTTTCTACAATCATGACTGTACTTGGGAGGAGAATCATTTTTAACACCTCATCTGAAGGCTGAGCACCTCACCACATAGTGTCTGACTCCAGCTGCTCTTTAGGGAGGGCACTTTATTTGTTAAGTTTTACTGCAAAGAGCAAAAATTGTGTACATCTTTGGCTTTTGTGACTAGTGCTGCTATGAAAATTGGTAACAAGTATCTGTTTACATTCCAGCCTTTGTTATTTGTTGGTTCATATGGTAGTTCTATGCTTAATTCTGAATTATTTTCTGTAGTTTTGTTCTTGCTTTTTTTAGCAATCATGATTTTGTATCTATTTTTTTCCTCTTAAGTCCAACAAGTTACTTGTTATTCTTCATGTTTGCTAAATAAGAAATTTTATCACAATATTCTCAAATGAGGGGGGGGGAAGATTGACCACCTTAGTATTATAACTTCATTCTAGCTCCAATTTGGCCAAGTTTTATTAAATTATATTGTTGTTGTAGTTATTAGGTGCCATTGTGACCCCTATGCACACAGACGAAACATGCACGATCCTGGGCCAACCTCACAATCATTGCTACATTTGAGTCCACTAATGCTGCCACTATGCCAGTCCATCTCGTTGGGGGTCTTACTGTTTTTCCCTGACCCTCCAACTGTACCAAACATGATATCCTCTTCCAGTGACTTGTCCTTACTGACAATATGTTAGAAGTATGAGAAACAAAGTCTGGCCATCCTAGCTTCCAGGGAGCATTCTGGCTGCACTTCTTCTAACACAGGTTGTTTTGTTCTTTGAGCAGTCCATGGTACTTTCAATATTCTCCTCCAACACAACACCATAGCTCAAATGCATCAATTCTACGGTCTTCCTTATTCACTATCCAATTTTTCATGCGCATGAGGTTATTGAAAATATCATGGCTTGGGTCAGGCGCACCCTAGTCCTCAAAATGACATCTTTGCTCTTCAACACTTTGAAGAGGTCTTGTGCAGCAGATTTACCCAATGCAATACATTACTTGCTTTCCTGACTGCTGCTTCCATGAGTGTTGATGGTTGATCAGGGAAAATGAAGTCTGGCAACTTCAATCTTTTCTCCATTTACATGGATGTTGTTTATTGGTCCAGAGGTGAGGATTTTTGTTTTCTTTGCATTGAGATGCAATTCATACCAATGTCTGTGGTCTTTGATCTTCATCAGTATTTTAAGTCCTATTCCCTTTCAGCAAGCAAGGTTGTATCATCTGCATATTGCAAGTTATTAATGAGCCTTCCTCCAATCCTGATACCATGTTCTTCTTCTTATAATCCAGCTTCTTGGATTATTTGCTCAGCATACAGATTGAATAAGTATGGTGAAAAAATATAACCCTGGTGCACACCTTTCCTAATTTTAAACCATTTGGTGTTCCCTTGTTCTGTTTGGACAACTGTCTCTTGGCCTATGTGCAGGTTCCTCATGAGCACAATTGAGTGTTCCAGAATACTCATACTTCACAATGTTTTCTGCAGCTTGTCATGATCAACACAATCAAAAGCCTTTGCATAGTCAATAAAGACAAGTAAACATCTTTATGGTATTCCCTGCTTTCAGCCAAGATCCATCTGGTGTCAGCAATGATATCCCTTGTTCCGTGTTCTCTTCTGAACAAGGCTTGAAACTCTGGAAGTTGTCTGTCAATGTGTGATTGCAGCCATTTTGTATTATCTTTAGTAAAACTTTACTTGTATGGGATATCAATGATTCTTTCCAATGATTTCCTCATTCCATTGAGTCACCTGCCTTTGGGATGGGCACAAATACAGATCTCTTCCAGTCAGTTGGCCAGGTAGTTGTCTCCCAAATTTCTTGGCATAGATGAGTGAGTGCCTCCAGTGCCGCATCACTTTGTTGAAAGACTTCAATGTGTATTCCACTAATTCCCAGTGCATAGTTCTTTACCAGTGACTTCAGTGGACCTTTTACTTCTTCCTTCAGTATCATGAGCTCTATATCATATGCTACCTCTTGAAATGGTTGAACAGCAACCATTTCATTTTGGTACAGTAAAACTCTGTATTTCTTCCATCCTCTTTTGATGCTTTCTGCATCATTCAGTATTTTGTCCATAGAATCCTTCAATACCACAAGTCGGTGTTTGAATTTTTTCTTCAGTTCCCTCAGCTTGAGAAATGCTGAGTGTGTTCTTCCCTTTTGGTTTTCTAACTCCAGGTCTTTGCACATTTTGCTATAATATTTGACTTTGTCTTCTTGAGCTGACCTTTGAAATTTTCTGGTCAGCTCTTTTACCTCCTGATTTCTAACATTTGCTAATTTAGCATCGCTACACTGGAGAGCAAGTTTCAGAGTTCTTACTGACATCCATTTTGTTCTTTCCCTTCTTTCTTGCCTTCTTAATGACCTTTTGCTTTCTTCCTGTATGACGTTCTTGATGTCATCGCACAACTCTTCTGGATTTTGGTCTTCAGTGTCTAATGCATCAAATCTGCTCTTGAGATGATCTCTAAATTTAGGTGGGGTATATGAAAGGTCATATTTTGGCTCTCGTGGACTTGTTTTCATTTTCTTCAGCTCCAACCTGAATTTGCATATGAGCAGTTGATGGTCTGTTCCACAATCTGCCGCTGGCCTTGTTTTGGCTGGTGATATGGAGCTTTTCCACCATCTCCTTCCACAGATGTTGTCAGCTTGATTTCTGTGCATTCCATCTGGTGAGGTACATGTATATAGTTGTCTTTTATGTTGTTTAAAATATATATTTGCAATGAAGAAGTCATTGGTCTTACAAAATTCTTATCATGTGATCTCTAGCATCATTTCTATCACCAAAGCCCTATTTTCCTATTTTCCTACTGATGCTTCCTTTCTCTTTGTTTCCAACTTTTGCCTTCAAATCGCCAGTAATTATCAGTACATCTTGATTGCATATTTGATCATTTTCAAACTGAAGAAGTTGATAGAACTCTTCAATTTCATCATCACTGGCTTTAGTGGTGGTTCATAATTTTGAATAATGGTGGTATTAACTTGTCTTCCTTGTAGGCATATGGATATTATCCTATCACAGACAACGTTATACTTCATGACTGATCTTGATATGTCCTTTTGATGATGAATGCAATGCCATTCCTCTTCAATTTTTCATTCCTGACATAGCAAACCATGTGACTGTCAGATTCAAAATGAGCAATACCAGTCCATTTCAGCTCACTAATGTGTAGGATATTGATGTTTATATATTCCATTTCATTTTTGACAGTTTCCAATTTTCCTAGATTCATACTTCATACATTCCATGTTCTGATCATTAATGGATTTTTACAGCTGTTTCTCTTCATTTTGAGTTGTTCCCCAGCAACAAATGAAGGTCTGGAGGGCTTTACTCCATTCACATCATCATGGTCAACTGTGTTTTAAGGAGGCAGTTTTTCCCTGGTCGTATTTTGAGTGCCTTCCAACCTGAGGGGCTCATCTTCCAGAACTATATCTGACAATTATCTGGTGCTCTTCATCATGTTTCTATATTTAATAATCTTGTGTTGACCGTGTACCACTGCAGTTCATAAGGTTTTCAGTGATTAAATATTCAGAAGTAGTCCGTCATTCCTTCTTCCAGATCTGTCTTCATCTGGAAGCTCATCTGAAACCTGTCCACCATGGGTGACCCTGCTGGTATTTAAAATACAGGTGGCATAGCTTCCAGAATCACAACAACTCACAAGCCACCACAGTACGACAAACTGACAGATGAGTGGTGGTAAATTATATTACACTCCCCAAATTAACATCTATAATCTTTAATAAGGTGACAAATTCATTTTCTTTATCTTTTAGTTGTTTTAAACAAAATATTAAGATCACTTTTTGATACCTGATGTGGTTAAAACCAAGGTATTTAAATTTTTCTGAATTGCATATTTTTGTCATGTAAAGACTTTAAACTCCAATTAAAATTGGCTGGGTGTCTTATGTGCATTGTCAGGTGAGGTGCTATTTTCCTGGAGGAAAAGACATGACTCCTCCATAGAAATGACAATAAGCTTAAACTGGTTTTTGATTACTGTTGGAGGGGGGCTAATTTTGTGTATGTGTGTGTATGTATAGACATACAGATAACCCTATCATACTGTGTCCCTCAAGCTACAATAAAGTTAAATAGGTGAAGTTCATATTTTAATTATTTCAAATTGATGGTACACGTGACTCATACAAATCAGAATGTTTTGGAGGTACGTCTGCCCTTCACCAATTCCTGCAGGAGTGAAATATTGACCAATTAGATCATCAACTTAGGTTCTGTCAGGCCCTGAACATTTCAGATGTTTCACAGGGAAAATACAATGTATAATATACTCTGCAACTTCTCCTGTAGTAAGCGTTAGGCATGACTACTCTGGTGAACAGCTATCTACTGGGTCCAGAAGTAACTTGAAGAATGAAAGTGCATTCAAGTTTAAGAGGAGAATTTGGGCTGTTAGGTTTTTCTTTTATTCCTGAAGAAAGAAATTCATTCTATTTTGGTCAAGATAAGTAACCAAATGAGTAGAAGTTGTTTGGCTTTTTCTTGTACTACCAATGTGTTTAGACATTTAACTCTACAAAAATGCTATGAATTTATAAAGCTTTATTGAAGAGAAAATACTCTACTGCTGTTGAGTCAATTCGGACTCCCAGAGCCCCTGCAGGATGGAGGAGAACTGCTTCCTGGGACTACTGAGGCTTTCAGTCTTTACGGAAGCAGACTGCCTCATCCTTCTTTCGAGAAGCAGCTTGGGGGTTGGGACCACCAACCTTTCAGTTAGCAATCCAGTGTTTAACACACTGTGTCACTAGGACTACAGTTGATTAAATAGATGCTTATACATTTAAGGAACCCTCGAAGGAGCTCTGGTAGCGTAGTGGTTATGAATTGGGCTGCGAACTGCAAGGTCAGCAGTTCGAAACTACCAGCTGTTCCATGGGAGAAAGATGAGGCTTTCTGCTCCCGTAAAGATTTACAGCCTCGGAAACCCTGTACAGGGTCGCTATGAGTCAGAACTGACTCCACGGCACACAGCCACCACCACCGTAGCATATTGGGTTATGTGTTGAACTGCAGTTTGAATCTACCATCCAATGCACAGAAGAAAGAAGAGGCTTTATAGCCTCAGAAACCCTAGACAGTGTCTCTATGAGTGGGAAATGACTTGGCAGAACACCACCACCATTGTAAATTTCACATTTTAGTTAATATTTAACATTTTAGTTGGGATATGAGCCTTGTAAACTAAAAATCTCCTCTTTGGTTGGTTGGCAGCTATATTTTTAAATGAGGTGGCATATTTCAACATAAATTAAAGGGAATTGCTTTGAATTATAGAAAGTTGCATACAGAGTAGGAAGTACACTTACTTACAACACTAGCTTTGCATCATGTTTTTGTGGTTGTTTGCTGTGTATATTATGCGTGTGCCTTTTAATGCCATGTTTGCAGCGTATTCTAGAGAATTCTCTTCTCTCCTATTTAGGTGAAAGCTAAGTCTCCATAACAACTCTAGTTTAAAATTTTACTCAGTTAAAATGTTATGGTCATATTTTAGGGTCAGACACTAAATAAATGTTATATTAGTCACAGAGAAGAATGGAACATGGTTACTGTCCAGAAGACTTATGGCAGTATGGAGGGCTGGGAACAGGGCTAGTTACCAGGAATGCTAAGCATTGCAATGTGAGGCAATGATTTCAATACGTAGAACTCTATCTCCAAACAGTCTTATTCACAAGCTTAAATTATAAAGCACATTGTAATGGAACAACTGTGGTCTGGCTGATTTAGCATAGTCAGATGAACTGCCATGGAACTCATTGGAATAAAATTTTTACAATCCATATTTTCTTCCTCCTTCCATTCTAACTTCCTTCTTTTCTTCCTTACTTCCATTTTTCCTTCCTTCCTTTCTTCTTTTTCTGGTACTAACTCAATCACAAATTGACTATATAACACGGTATCTGCTATGTGACAAACCTCCAAATTAGGCTAGCAGCATGAATCCCGTGAGATAATACCAAACAAAATGCAGTGAGGATCATGAGTGAGTGAGGTGGTATATTAGAAGAGGAGAGATGCCAGGAAAGGATCCATGGAAGGATGGTGTTTGATAATTACTGATACTGTAAAAGAAGATCTTAAGGTTTGTTCTTTAGGGCAGTCTCTTAATAACCATGGGTTAGTAGCATGATTCTTAATAATTCTGGAACTCCACATAAATTTTATTGTGACTTTTTAAGTTGGTGACATTAAATTGATTAGGATTTAATAACTGAGTTATAGATATCTCTGCATCTAGTTAACAGTTTTATCATGAACATTGAAAGAGAGAAAGCATCAGAGTCAATCTTCAAAAAAGTTAATTCATTTATTCATTCATTCATTCACTTAGCAAATTCAGCAAAACAGAATGGGAGAAGAAAAGGATGGATAAAGCAATTGGGTGAGTGTGTGCTTTCATATATAAGGGGTTGTCAATCTAAACCAGACACAAAGTTAGTCAGCAAAAATGTCTTCAGAGCTTTGAAAAATAGCAAGGAAGAAAATCCACTTGTCCAGGTGGGAGCATATAGTGCTGTTGAATGTTTTAAATGGACTCATTTATGTGTTTGGGACCTTATTTGTGTGGTTATGTATGATATAGAGATAGAGATATAGAGATAGAGATACATAACTTGGCGTTATATTTATATAGACTGGTGTAGTGCTACGGGTTAATGTGCTGGACTACAAGGTCAGTTTGAACCACAAGGTCGGCGGTTCAACCTCATTAGCCGCTCCTTGGGAACCCTACACAGGGTCGCTGTGAGTTGGAACTCACTGGATAGCACTTAAAACCAACATCAGATAATATCACTTTCCCTGTGGTTAGCTAGTAACATACAGAAAGCTATAAAACTACATTAAAATGATTTTCAGAAATCACCATTTAGAATTATATTTGGTTGAAAAAAATTTTTTATTTGGTAATGTTCTCTTAAGGATTTCTATTAACTACCAAAAAGGAGTCCTGGTATGGTGCTGTAGGATAAGCACTGGACTGCTAACCACAAGGTTCAAACCCACCAGCTGTTCCTTGGCAATCCGGTTAAAACAATAACATTAAGTACCAGACTATTAAGTAAAAATTTACCTTAGAAGTTTTGGGTTGTTTTTATTCTTATAACATTTGTCATTAAAAAACTTTCTGAACCAGGAACTTCTTTGGCACTGTAGACAAGCAGTGTACCCGTAAAGGTTTACAGCCTCAGAAACCATATTCAGGGTCACTATGAGTAGGAACAGACTCACGGCACTGGGTTTGATTTTTTGTCGGTTTTTTTTTTGTTGTTTTGATGAGCAAAGAGGACTAAAAAACTCTGTCACCTTAGATTTCTGATAGACATGTAGAAAACTGACTAAAAATTATACGCTTAAGTGTTAAGATATGTATTTTAAATTCTTTCTCAATTTAAAAATAGTACATAATTTATTATAGAAAATATAAAAAGTAAACAAAAAATGATCTCAATTTTATTCCTCTATTATACCCAGTATTAATATTTTGTAGTATTGCATCCTAGCCTTTTTTTTCCATGCACATATGTGTGTAGATAATGAAAGTTGGCTAGTTCTATGCATAAGTTTTATATTTTGCTTGAATGGTCTGTAAGAATATGGCTTTTATTAACTGCAATATGCCATCATATGAAATCACCATTACTTATTTCATCATTCTTCTTTTTAAGGCTATTTGAATTGTTTCCATGTTTTTGCCATTATAAATAATACTGCTATAAGTAATCTGGAGTCCTGGTGTGGCACTGTGGGTTAATGTGCTGGACTGCAAAGTTGGTTTGAACTGCAAGGTTGGCGGTTCAAGCTCACCAACCACTTCTCGGGAACCCTATACAGGATTGCTATGGGTCATACTGACTCGATAACACTTAGCAACAACAACATAAATAAATAATCTTGTGCATAGAGCTTTGTCCACATTTTCCCCCCTATATTTTTAGAATGGAATTATCAAGCCAAACCTATGAAATCTCAATTCTCTTTGTACATATGACTGAAATTTTCTCTTATACAAAATTTGTGCTTCTGATAGGATAGAGAAGGAAGGGCAATCTGTCATTCCAATGAATAATTTCATAGTGATTTTTAAAATCATTTTTTGAAATGTTTATTTTCTGTATGTGACACACAGTTGGTTTTGTGGCTTATTTTTTCAGGTACTCATTTGCAATTGTGGGCATCAATATAACTGATCTGGCATATAATCTTCTAATTAGTGGAGCTCTCAAGACCCATTTCTACAACATCGCCCCAGAAGCCCCAACATTATCCCACTTCCAACAAACGTTCTGTAAGTATCCTATTGCTCAATTGGCAATTTAAGTTTGTTTCTACAGAGCACTCGAGGCCAGTGTAGAAACTGAGAGATCTTTGTTTTTGACTGCCTGAGGCCTTTTGAACTTCTTCCTTTAGTTCTGATATGCTTATTTTTTCATTCAAACCCTTGCACTTGTACTCTCATACATACAGGCATCGTGATTTTTTCTCTCCTAGGTTTTAGGTAGTATCTAATGTATCAGCTTTTGGTCTGATTTGAAGATATCATGGGTCTTTCTGTCTGTCTCTTTCCCTCTCTCTGATCCAGAATGACAGTGAAGAGATACTGATAGGGTCTGCGTTGAGAAATCTGACCAGCACAAGAGAAAAGACCTAAAGATATTAACCTCTGGATCTCCCTAATTCAACAGCCAAGCCATACCACTGCAGTGATGCTTATATGTGCTCAGAGTGTTCAATCAGCTTTGGGCCCAGTTGGGGGTTTTTTGGTCAGAAATACTTGCATACAACTCAGATATCTGAGTGTGGTGGTTTAAAAACATGTCTACAAAGTCTTTGACACTACTCTCATTTAGAATTAGGGTTTACGTGACTCCCCTCACCCAAACCCCTTGAATCTTGGCTGACCTTAGTTGACCAAAAGAGTGTGGCAGAATTGATACATGACTTCTAAGTCTAAATCAGAAAACGCTTTTGCCTGTTTCTTTTGGGGCCTGAGTTGTGCATAGGGTCACCATATGTCAGAACTGGCTCAATGGCACCTAACAACAACAACAACATGAGATCTGATAGAGGAAGATTTTTAAAAATGGAAAAGGCCTTGCAGGGATTATTCAGTCTGGAAAGTTGGGGAAAGCCTCCCAGTGCAAGGACCACTTTAGCTTAGACATAAAGGATGAGTGGCAAAAAATAATGCAGTGGTGTCTTAGTGGTCCAGCCAGAGAGAGTGACACAGATAAAGACCACAAACAAGAGAGTATGGTAGATTGAAGAAACAGAACATGGAGTCTGAGACGGAAGCTAGCTTAAAATGAGTCAGGAAATGTAAGGGAGTAGGGGAGAGACCTTCAAGAACTTTGTAAGCCATGTTGAAGAGCATAAATATGAGATAAACAAGGCTCCTTACTATGTTTCTCTAGCCTCTTAAATTTACTCTATTCTATATTAAGACGTTAGGGAAACTGGAGAAGCAGTTTTGCAGGAAAACAGAATAAATTTAGTTTTAGGCATATTGAGGGAGAGTCCTTTTGGGAAATTCATATGAAGCATCATAGTGGACAGTGATCTCTGGAACTGAAGAGTTTAAAGGAATCAAGCTGCAAATTGGATGTCATCAGCATGAAGGTGAAAACCAGAGCCACACAGTGGATGAGCTCCCCAGGAATCAAAGTTAGACTCATAAGGAATTGACATTTATGGGCAGGAGTATTTACTTTGTTTGTGGTTGTATCCTCAGCACAGAGCTGGGTACAGAGGAGGTACTCAGTAACTGCTTGTTGGATGGATGGATAACACACTAAAATGGTAGATGGTATCCTTTGTAGGAGGAGGGAGAGTCTTAATTTATCTGGAAAGATTTATTTATCCTTGGCCTGGATTGACAACGTTTCCAAGAGAAACCTAAATGATCAAGCATACAACAGGATTATGCGTTTTTCAAAGGCCCCACCAGGGTTTGGAAACAGCAGAATTCTATGTGGATTGGAGTATAAGCAGAGGGAACGAGACTTCTCTAGAATAGCCTCACTGTGCCCTGACTTGATGTTCCTCCATCAGACATGATCAGGCTTGTACATCTCTTCTGTAATACTCTTGCAATTACCTGTGTCATTGCATATGTCTCTGCTCTCCACTAACTGAATGCAGTGAAGCAAAACCAAGACACATTCAAGCAATAACAAGCTACAGGCTTGAGATGGAAAACCAAATTAGTATTCAAAATGAGTATTTCATCTAGGTGAAAGAGTGAAAGAATATAATAGCTCTATCCTTCTGATTTAATAGTATTATCCAGTGGACATTGCACTGCCAAGGCAGTATGTTACAAAAATTACATTTAATCTAAAGCTCCACTGAACATACAGCCCCATTAAAATGAAGTGAGGTTGAGTGCAGTGAGCAGAAGGAAGTATAATGCCCCGAAGAGAAAAAGGACTTATCTTTTCTTTAACCTTCAAAATAAGAAGCTAACTCTTCAATAGAAATGAGAACAAAAGAGGAACAGAATATACTGGAAAACACAGCCTGGTGGACTAGTGGAAAGTCATCTGGCTTCAGGTCCTAACATCAGCTTCCAGCTGTAATAATGTAATTGTGTGCATTCAACGATCTTCTCTAAGCCCAGTGCACACACACAGATGTACCATCTGCACTACTGATCCACAAAGCTGTTTTAAGAATTACGTAAGAGAATGAACAATGGCCTGCCTTCTGTTTCCTATCTGTACTTCCCACACTACTTCGTTAGCTTCTTTAGTTACCATGTTGTGCTGAAATCATCTCCCTGTATCCCTCTTTCCAAGAAATTGAGAATTGAGGATCTCAAGAACTCTACTTCTTGCATCTGCAGCACCTAGTACTATGCCTAATATATATTTGTTGGAAATTCAATTAGCCAGCTGGATTTTTGGATTTTATATAATGTCATATAAATGAGTAAAGTTTTATCATTTTAGCATATATCTTGGCAACCATGCCACCATTTCTGTATTTTGGCTTAGATCATGGTACATAGTCATTTTCCTGATGAGGTAGAGAAAAAGTTCTAGGGAATCTGTCTGCAAACTTTACAGCTTGACTTTTATAGACTTAAGAGACAGGATCCTAAGAATGGTCTCAGCTTGTGAGCCACTTTTATCCCTACTCTTTCTGTAACCTATTATAAAACATTTCAAGTCATTTTTCTACAATTGAATGTAAGTTAGAAAAATGGGGAAACCACAATGTCTACATCCTTCTAGATTGTTGTACTACATTAGATCTTCTTTACAATGAATACCAATATGCCTTTATGTTGTAGGAAAGTGAACATTTTTATGCACATTACTGAAAAGTGAATTCTTCATTAAATGATGATTTTCCACAGTTCCTAGGTATCATTGTCACTAGGAGTAAAGAACTTGTCACTCATGAGATATTGTACAGATGTATCATGGATGATTTTAATTCATAATATAGGAAAACTGACTACATACAAAATGACTCAGGTTTGTTTATTTGAGTCTAGAAGCTAAGTTGGGAAATTTACGTTTGTATTTTATATGACAAGGGAAGGAGACACTACAAATTATCATAGCTTTCACTTTAAAGCCATAAAAATTGTAATATTTAGAAGGAAGCCAAGGAAATGTAAAAAGAGAACACCTTCTGGACCACTCATTCTCAAACTTTGTTGTTGTTGTTAAGTGCTGTCGAGTCGATTCCAACCCGTAGCTACCCTGTATAGGGTTTCCAAGGAGAAGCTGGTGAGCTTGAACCACCAACCTTGCAGTTCAAATGACTTTGCAGTCTGACGCATTAGCCCATAGCGCCACATAAAATTCACTTTGCTAAATTGCAATTTCAGGCTGAACCTGGGAAGACCTGCATTTTTAACAAGCACCCAGGTCATTCTTGGGCTACCTTCGGATTTTGCCCAGTGACTGAGATGGACAGATGGCTGGGTTCTTTTGGTTGATAAAACACTGAGATGATAAGATTCAGGTGCATACACTAAAGCAGCCAGGATAGCAAATGAACTCCCAGTCATGGCATGAGAGAAATTATAAAGAGAAATGGGATGCCCAATGTGGAAAACAAATTATCCCAAACCATAAAGCACACTTCAAATATATGAGTTGGAAAGGGATTGGATTTGCTCATAAAATACAGGACAACAGGTTTTGGCCAAGTGTGAGAGAGAACGTTTTAAGAATCAGAATTCAGCATCTGTGGAACAGGCTTAATGTCAGTGTTGACACCAGGATGCTACCTCAGGGAAGCCATGCCACCAGAAAGGCAGAGATGAATGAAGTGGCTCTGGGGATCCCTGAATACTTCTGATTTGGAGTTTCTCTGATGTGGCCCAGTTGCTATGACAATGGTGGTAGGCCCAGACTTGAGTAGCTCAGAGGCCAGTTGAATAAAGATTGAGGTGTATCCCTACCAGAGATATTAAAAGCAGTCCTATTTCATTTAATTTGTATGGGGGTCCCTAAGAGACATGGAAAAAATCAAAAGACATACATAGTAAGTCCTCTCTCTCATTATTCTTCTCATTTGTAGAGAGTCTATGTACTGAACAATGTACAAACAGCTGTGTGATGAGGTGAGTGAGCAGAGGGATGAAGCTATAGAAGAGAGAAACCAACATCTGGCAGAGTGTTAGGGGGAGGTGACTTCTAATTTTGTTTTATAGTGAAACATGAATCAAGATTTTTAAAATTTTGTTTATGGAATTATGTGAAAGGTCCCCCACATATATAGCCAATTACCAGAAAATCTTTAGGTATTATTTAATTTATTTTTTTTGCTATTAGAGTTGAGTATGTTTGTTCCAAAATTCTCTTTCCATGGCTTCATTATTACTACTGCTCTCTTCTATTTCCATCTACACATGGATGTGGCGGAGCTAGGATTCAAACATACTTTTCCAGAGTCCTTGCTCTAAACTACTGTTTCCCACTGCCGTCTAAAGTGAAGGAGTCCCTAGATGGTGCAAATGGCTAACAACTCTACTGCTAACTGAAAGGTAGGAGGTGTAAGCCACCCAGAGTCACCTTGACAGAAAGGCCTGGCAGACTACTTCCAAAAAATTAGTCATTGCAAACCCTATGAAGTACAGTGCTCCTCCAACACACATGGGTCACCATAAGCTGAAATAACCTCTACAGCACCTCTTTTCTCCCGTAAGCCTCCTAACGTTAAGACTTAGAAAGCTTTGTGAGTGTATGTATTTACACTAGAATTATCTCCTTAAATAATCTTTTATATAGAGAGACACCTAAGCTTGCAGTGAATTTATTACATGTGAATGTAATCTCATTTCAAAAAATTATTCACATTTCAGTTTAAAGGTGGTTAAAGGAAGGAAACAATGGGGAACAAACACAAGGGAGAGATCCTTGTATCAAATAACAACTATTCCAAAAACGTTTTCCAACCCAGACCATTCATACATAACATTTTTGAGATATGAAAGTATTTGAATATAAAACTACTCCAGAGTAAGGAAGTCTTATTAACAATTTCATGTCGCTGAATGACCAATCTGTGTTGAATTACAATTCTTATTGTCTATTAGTAGATTGTCAAAATGCATTTGTATAATATGTCAGAGTAATTCAAAATTTTAGTCAAATCAAATACCAAGAAGAAAAAAAGGCTAAGCAGAGTAATTTCAACATATTAAACCATTATGTTAATTTAATTCGAAAGGAATGATGAAGTATTCACTATTGGCTCTTCAGAAAATGTTCCCAATGTGACTCACATTCAAGAGATGGTAGAATTGCTTTGTCTTCTTGCCAAAGAAGAATGAGAATAATTCTAGGACTACTTGCGAAATTCTACAGATCTATAGCTTCTACTGAAATGTGTTTAAGGAGTAATCTACGACCATAGTATGATTAGCTCCATACTGATCTCTTTTCCGAGCTCCATGGTTGCTAGTATTTGGCCTAACTTCTCTTTCAACATTCGAGATGATTTTGAATGTAATCGAAGACTTTTTTTTCTCCTGTGTAATTATCACTGTATTATCTCTAACAGGCTATTTGATGCATGAGTTTCATAAGTTTTGGATTGAAGAAGACCCCATGGACATCATGGAATTCAATCGTGTGCGGGAGAAATTCCGTAAGAGGATTATAAAACAGCTGCAGAACCCAGACATGGCATTGTGCCCACATTTTGCTGCCTCAGAAGGTTTAATCAACATGTAGTTGCCCACGCTGGTTTTAATGGATGCCCTGGAACACTGCCTCATTGTAGTGTTAGATCTCTGCTTAGGTCCCAGCTCACACACTGAATGCACACAGTGATTGTATGCATGCCTTTTGACACAGTATTTTCTTCTCTTGGTCATAACTATCAGATCCCCAGATCCCACTGTTTCTGGAGTGAATGTTCATATTGTGGCATTATGCAGTGTTACATTTTGCCTTTACACCCAGGTATGGAGAGAGTTTTCTATTTTTTTAGATGTTTTTCCCCCTCCCTTTCATTATTCACCATTAAAGAATTGTATTTCTCTAGCTGTATTTTGTATGTAAGATGTTTAGCTGAATCTTGTTCTGTGAAAACCTTTTAATGTATTGATATGTTTCACAGCTTCTGCTGCTAGCTCTCCAAGCCACATTCAGGCTTGGATCTCATTCTGACAAACTATAAAACTTTAAAATAATACAGACACATGATACACCAAACTGTTCTTACAAACATCACTGTGCTACACAAAAAATGCAACGAGGCTTACAACACGCAAACTTAAGTTGAAGCTGCTTTGGTTTGAAATGCCGCAGAATTACATTGTGATTTGCTTACCCCCAGTTACAACTGTGGCTTAGTCATCTGGATATCAAGTTGTTTTCTTTCAATAATTTCACTGATTTAGATGCTTAAATGTGCTTATGATACTTGGAGCCTCAGAAAAGGATGCGTATTTTAAATGCTGAAAAAAATCCTTCACTGCCTGCCTATTGCTGAACTCTTGAGTCACACCATGGCACTTTTCTGATCCAAGTACTTTTGCTTGGGGAACTGAGTGCTAACTGGTTTGTTTTCTTTGTTAAGAGGTAATATTAAAGGAACAATTTTCAGGACAACGTGTTGCAAGAAAGAAACCTAAGCTTTGTTAGTCTGCAATACTGTCTTGAAAATAATGACCTTATCTTGCATTAATGGAAGAAGCAAATTGCTTGAAAGGGGAAAATAAAAACCAAATCATTCCCAAACTGCTAAAAATCATTTTCAAAACCATGATTTAGTTTGGAATTATGATTGTAGTCTGTTAAATAATATTTACCATGGCATTTCATACCCATGGTATTTTATACCTTCTGACTATCAATTTTAGTATTAGTAGATGTTTGTGTAATCACTTGCTTATTTAAATGAATTTTGAGTACTGCCTGTCGGTTATATAAATAAATTACATGTCATTCTACTGTATCATGGAGTGGATTTCATTTTCATATTTTTGCGCTTGTACAGTTCTGAATATGCAAATGTGTGAGTGGGTAAAATGTCAAAAGACACACAACCTGGAGCTGCCTGTAAATCACACCATCATTCAGAGGAACCAGGTGTAAATTAAAATGTGTCATGTCAGAGGAACTGTCTTTAGCTAACCGTGAGACCTGGTGGTGCTTTAATGAAAGAATAGGATCCAACTTTTCATCAGAACTTCCTATGAAGGCTGGTTTGTCTACTGCAAGGCAGTTGGTAAAGAAGAAATGTTCAGCTCCTTGCTTGTTTCATGACCATTTTAGCCTCCTCTGGAAGTTTGCCATCCCTTCACTTTCAGCTGTGTACCAGGTGGCAATACTTGGCATTGCATCTATTACATATATATTACAGTCTGAGACAGGGAATACCAAGAGTGACTAGAGACCCCTTTCTTGTAAAGGTCAGTCAGTAGTACACTATAAGGTTACAGTGAGTCAGAATCAGCTTGATGGCAATGTGTGGAACCTTAGAATGAGAAAGGAAAGAGTAGGCTAATGCAATGACGAGTAATGACAAGTATCTATATATGTATAGAGTCCTGGTGTGGCGCTGCAGGTTAATATGCTGGACTGCAAGGTCAGTTTGAAACACAAGTTAGCAGTTCAGGCTCACCATCCACTTCTCAGACACCCTATACAGGGTCACTATGAGTCAGAACCGACTTGATAGTGTATATATAACTATCAAGTACCAACATCACATGTATATATAAGGAGCCTAGACTGCAAGGTTAGTTTAAATCACAAGGTCCAGTGCTTGTCCATATGGAATCCTGGTGTGGTGCTGTAGGATAAGCTCTGAACTGAGAATCACAAGGTCAGCAGTACAACCCCATGAGCCATTCCTAAGAGTCCTGGTGTGGCAGTGCAGGATAATGATCTGGACTGCAAGGTCAGTTTGTACTGTAAGATCAGCAGTTGAAACCCACCAGTTGCTCCTTGGAAATCCTAGACAGGGTTTCTGTGATTCAGAACCAACTCAATGGCGCTTAATAACAACAATGTATGTTGCTTTTGTTAGGTGCCATTGAGTCGGTACTGACTCATAGCGACCTTATGCACAGCAGAACAAAACACTGCCTAATCCTGGGCCAACCTCACTACTGTTGCCATGCTCGAGTCCATCGATGCTGCCACTTGGCCAATCCATCTCATTGGGGGTCTTCCTCTTTTTCTCTGACCCTCCACCTTATAAAACATAATATACTTCTCCAGCGACTGGTCCCTCCTGACAATATGTCGGAAGTATGAGAGACGAAGTTTGGTCATATTGGCCTCCAAGGAACACGCTGGCTGCGTTTCTTCCAAAACACATCTATTGGTTCTTTTGGCAGCCCATGGCACTTTCAAATGTATATGTATAAATATATATAATACATGGACTCCTGGTGTGGTGCTGTAGGATGTTGTTGTTTGTTGTTAAGTGCTGTCGAGCCAGTTCTGACTCAAAGCAATCCTGTATAAGGTTTCTGAGGAGTGCCTGGTTAATTTTGAACCGCCTATCTTATATGCTCTGGTAGCGTAGTGGTTACGAATCAGGCTGCTCACCTCAGGGTCAACAGTTCGAAACTGCCAGCTGTTTCGCAGAAGAAAGATGAGGCTTTCTGCTCCTGTGAAGATTTACAGCCTCAGAAACCCTGTACAGAGTCACTATGAGTCAGAACCAACTCCACGGCACATAACAACAACAACCTTACATGTTTATCCAGATGGAGTCCTGGTGTGGCACTGTAGTATAAGCAGTGGACCACAAGGTCAGCCTAAACCACAAGGTTAACAGTTCAAATCTACCAGCCACTCCTTGGAAACCCTATACAGGGTTGCTATGAGCCAGAAAAAACTTGACAGCAACAAAAATAGATAGATAGATAGATAGATAGATAGATAGATAGATAGATAGATAGACACATAGAGGCTTCAAAAAGTTCCTGAAAAAAAATACATTATCTTTTTTTTTTTTACATATACAATGTATGTTTATTAAAAATCCATTATCTTTTCATTCAAACTTTCCACGAACTTTCTGAAGTCCCCTTGTAATTTTCTCCAGAGTGAGAACTTATGAACCTGCCTTGTTTACAAGCAGTGGCTGATGGGTTTGAACCACAAATTTTGCAGTTCAAACTGACCTTGTGATCGAGTGTTTTACCCCACAGCGCCACACCAGGATTCCTTAGATGTATATAATTGTTAATACTCACTTTGCATGCTGCACTAATCTACTCTTTCCTGTCTTCTTGGTGTTAAGTGCATTTGAGTCGGTATCAGCTCATAGCCACCCTGTAGAAGGTATCCCAGGAGCACTGGTGAGCTTGAACCACCGAGTTCAAATTTGCACAGCAGCTGCAGCTTCTATCATACACACTGTGTAAATGATTCCATATTAGCACACAGCTTTTTCCAGCCCCATGTTGTATTGCCTCTTTCTATCCACTGTGGTTCTCTGTCACTGACATGACTTGATAGCCTATGGCACTTACATGGCTCCTGTCTCTTCTGCTCAGGTAGAGATAGTTGATGCTAACAAAACTGGATGCTTTGTCTCCTAGGTCCTTGAATGATTTCTCTCTGTCGTATCTTAACATGGCTGTACCATTTTAGGATGAACAAACTCTGCCAGCTCCTTTGAGTTCTGAGTATTATTAGATTTCTCATTCACACCTCTTTGTAGAAGACACATTCTATCCAGTAACACTAAGTGAGGTGAGAAAAAGAAGAGGAGAAGGTTTCATAAGCATCAAAAATGTGTGATGTTTTTCCCCCTTGAGTATACATAGCTGGCTTATACTTATTCAGTTGAACAAGAGTTGACCACTTAAAATGTAAATAGTGTAGCAAGCTTCTTCCAAGTTTTCCAAAACACAACTTGCTATGATAAAAACATATTATAACTGCACTACAGAAATAAAATGCTTTGAAGCATTTCTAAAAATTGTGACTTAAGTTTGACTTTCCTTCTTGCAATTCTTCTTGTTAGTTGCCAGTTGAGTTGTTTCTGATTTATAACAACCTGTGCACAATAAAATGAAACAATGCCCAGATGTTTGCCATGGTCACAATTGCTGTTATATTTAAGCCCATTGGTGCTGCTGCCACGGTGTCAATCCATCTCCTTGGGGGGTCTTCCTCTTTTGTGTTGACCCTATACTTTACTAAAGGAGCTCTGGTAGCATCGTGGTTACGAATCGGGCTGCAAACTGCAAGGTCAGCAGCTCAAAACTACCAGCTGTTCTGTGGGAAAAAGATGAGGCTTTCTGCTCCTGTAAAGATTTACAGCCTCAGAAACCCTGTACAGGGTCGCTATGAGTCAGAACCAAATCAACGGCACTTAACAACAATATACTTTACTAAGGAGCTCTGGTAGCATTGTTGTTGTTGTTAAGTGCCTTGGAGTCGGTTCCGACCCATAGCGACCCTGTACAGGGTTTCCGAGGGTATAAATCCTTACGGGAGTAGAAAGCCTCATCTTTCTCCCGCGGAGCAGCTGGTAGTTTCGAACTGCTGACCTTATGGTTCGCAGCCCGATTCGTAACCACTACGCTGGTAGCATAGTGGTTATGAATCGTGCTGCTAACCTCAAATTCGGCAGTTCGAAACTACCAGCTGTTCTGGGGGGAAAAGATGAGGCTTTCTGCTCCTGTAAAGATTTACAGCCTTAGAAACCCTGTGTGGGGTCACTATGAGTCGGAACTGACTCTACGATACTTAACAACAACAATACTAAGCATGATGTCCTCTGCCAGGTCCCTCCTGATTACATGCCTGAAGTATGAGAGACAAAGTATGGCCATACTGGTTTCTAAAAAGCATTCTGGCTGTACTTCTTCCAAGACAAATTTGTTCTTCTTCTATAAGACTATGGTACTTTCAATATTCTTCTCCAACACCATGACTCAAATGCATCATTTTTCCTATGGTTTTCTTTATTCATTGTCTAACTTTCACATTCATATGAGGCAATTGAAAATGTATTTTCAATTCTTGTTATT